AAGGCTTTTAGCCTTACTGGCTTTACAATAAAGTTCTTCGTTTCCCCTACTATTTACCTAATGTATATTTATTTTTCCAGCAAACAAGCAATTTCAAATTCAACCCCCTAAACCCTTTTTTTTAATTGTAAAATACTTAGGCAAAAAGTTAGACTAGTCCAATAGCAGTCACTGTGGTTGCGCTAATAAAATTGTCAAGGATTTTTTTACTTGCAGTTGGAGAGCTAGTCAACCCATAACATTTCTGCAGTTCTGTTTCATACCGCATAATTGAGCCAAAGCGCAAACAGTTTAAGAAGCCAGGTTTGAGTAGCTACTCTGAAAACTTGCTTGGAGTTCAGTTTGCTTGCCTGGGGAGGAAAGGATGAGAAGGGGAAATAGCAGTGGTGGTTCAGTATTATTACTGTAAGTTTAACGTTGAAGCTAAGTCTGTAATCTTATGACTGGAGACCAAACTTACTGCCCAATTCCCATTAGTGCTAACAGGAATAAATCACCCCTCCACATAAAATCAATAGCAAGAAAAACATAACTACTAGTATAATTTAATACAAATAATTTTCATTTGCTGAAAGGAATTAACTTGCTGTGTGCTATGGGAAATGAACTTATACAGGCTATTCAAACACAGCTGCCACAGATTCCCCTTTTGTGAATTGGGGTTCCCTCAGTCCAGAGACAGTGTGCTTGCAAATATCTCCATAAACCTCTGCAGCTACCACTGCAGAAAGTCAGTAAACATCTGCAATTAATACTGCTGAGATTACATTAAGCAACCAGATGATACCATTACAAATGCTTCGGAAGGAAGGTTTTTTTTTTTCTTTTAACTTTTAAAAGGATTAAAAATACATAAGAAACCACAAAACTCTCTACTTTCCTATAATTTTAAACTGAGCAAACTACCAGTCCGGTGCTCTGCCAGTTTAACTCATGCCAGAAACTTTGTCTGTTGTCCTGCCAGCATGCCGCTGCCTAGACTTTCAGTTTCCCTGAAGATTACATATATTCACTATACATGACCCGAAGTTAATTGCTTCAATGTGGAGTGTATGTGGTGCGCAGCAGGCCTGTGTACGCAGATGGATTTCACCCTAAATACTAAGTCATATTAACACATTTTTATGGTAGGTTCAAAATAAGGATAATGAAAATGATGTTTGAAAGCAAGAAAGGCAATGATTTGATGAAAACTAAGGGAAAACAGCAGGCAGGGGGTGGGGGAAAAGGTTTGCTTCTGGTCAGCAGGATTGCCTGTTAAATTGGATTTTATTTTGGATTGAAAGAAGACTTTCCCGTGTCACCCTGCAAGGTGCTGCTGCTGGTGTGACAGAGGTAGCAGATGGCCATCTTCTCTCGGCAAAACCACTGCTACCCTAACTGCTGCTGGCTTGTGGATGTTGAACAGGTAACTGCTTGCTACAGTACGTGCCGCATTGCATAATTTCATTGATTACAAGCCTTTCTGGTGTATTTAGAAGTGTTATGGTTAAATTGGCTGCTGGCAGCACCAGGTGAGCAAAGCATAGCTGAGGTTGGCTGGGATGCTGGGACCTGGGACGAGGTGGGCCTGGCCCTGGGGCGCCGGGGACGGAGGCCACTGGCACATGCCGTGCTGCCAGGGGACCTGCTAGCTGCTTTTCGGCCAGCACTGCGTGGCTCTGCAGGAAACACGAGCACCTCCCCAGCCAGGCTGTCTGATGGAGATGCTGCATGTTAAGTTAGTGCGAGCTGTCATCACGCTGTAGCTGAAGGGAGTCTCATGCTTACTTCAGGTTGACTGGCTTTTTTTCCTCCCTAAATGCAAAGCTCCTTAGCACCATCTGGAAGAGCTCTGAGGAGATACAGAGCTTTTAGAAAGGCTTCTCAGTCTTCCTCTGTCTGGACCCTCTTGCCCACCACAGCACATGTGGTCACCTGTTGCAGTCACCTGCAGGACACAAAAGTTGGCTTTCACTCGGGATATGTTTAATGGGAATGGCTTCCCACACTGAAGGGACAATGTTCAACACAGCAGCCAGGAGATGCGGGTCTTTGACAAAGCTCAGGCTTCCTTCCCTACGCTCCCTCCCTGCTAATCTCTTCAGTGCAGCAACATCACTTAAATCATCACAAAGAGCCAGCCAGGTGCTCGAGGCACCACAGGTAGCCATATCTCGGTCGCTAACTCCTCATCACTTTCAAATAGCATTTTTCTAGAGTCCCCCAGGTGATACTGGCAGCAAAGGAGGAAGAAGCAGCTTCTCCTCAGTCTCTCGTCTTAATGCTACAGGGATTCTGGATTTTTTAAATTTATCTTTCTTTTAACTGGCAGCTGCCCCACTGGTGACCCTGTCACATCTTTACAGAATACCGGATCATCAGGACTGATTTCAGTTATTTTTACATGCATAAATACAGAACAAATGTGTGCAGTAGATATATTTAAATAAAAATTGACAAGATGCATTTATTGGTTTTGTTTTGTACAAAAGCATAACTTAAAAGGCAGACTAGTATAAACTTACTTTGTGCCAAATATTTAAACTTTTCATTCCAAAGAGTTTCTGGTTCAAAATGTGTAGATACAGTTTCCACCTGGGAAATCTCCTTTTTAGACCACAGATAACACAGTATTGTAAAATCAAAATTCTGCAGTCCTTCAGCCAACCAAAAGTTGCATTCTGCTTTGAATGCCAGAGTTTTAGCTACTCAGTGAGCGGATCATATGAAACATGAGCCATGCTGGAGTGACCTGATGAAAAGTCAGTTTGCCTACTGCTCATCCGTGTTCTGAAAAGAGATGGGCATTAGGATCTGTGACATGCAATCTTAGCAAAGACTGATAAATATATGTGTAAAAATAGGGTGACGTGTTTGGATTTTTCTTTGCTACTTCATACCAGCCAGAAGTAGTGTAAGAAAATCTGTGTGACTTAAGCGAGTCCCAGATGTCATGCAGAAGCTCAATTATTCCTGAAATAAAAAGTATGTTTTCACTCTGATTTTGCAAGTGGGTTTTCCTTTGCACAGGTAACATTTTCTCGATAAGCCTGAAGGGTTTCCTCAGTCTTTGCTGCCACCACCACAGGCAGCTGCACCTGCCTTCCTCTGACTTGGAGGGTAGAGTGGCAGTCTTTGCTGACGACATCTCCGTAGACGTTCATTTCCATTGGAAAAAGCCTCCCGCAAGACCAAGCAGGATACCTCCCTGAGATGCCCTTTCAAGAGTCTCCAAAGTGAGAATGTTACTTCAAAAGCTACTTTTCCCCCAGAACAGGGTTAGCTGTGCTTCAGTGCTATCAAGAGGGCTAGCGCAAAGCTAGATTCAAGTTCTTGTCATCCCGTATCCAAGTGCAACTTCCTGGAATTTTAAAACATGGTGGATGCACTGCGTGACAGCAGCTATACGACAAGTGGTGCGCAGCTGCGCAAGTGTTCCACAAGACCATCTGGAGGAAAGTACCAAAAATAGATGCGAGCGAGCCTTGTGTATTTCAGCAAAATTAAGCATAAAGAAATTGGTGTCCATGCAGTGCTTGATACGCCATAAAAACTTCTTTCAAATAACATTTGATAAGAAAACTATTTTTCGGTGAAAATGCAAGCTTAGACACTATGAACAGTTTACATCTTGTAGGTGTTCACTGATACGGGACAGTGGCATTATGACCAGTGGCTCACCTTAAAGTAGGTTACTCATAGATTTCCAAATGAGCTAGTGTTTTATGGTGCTGTACAAATAAAAAGTTGTGGGGGGTATATGAAATAATCTGTATTAAACTCCACTGCATTAAGTTATCCAATGCATGAAAAATGACTTGGATGCATTTAAAATAAATGCATATTACAATATAATATGTAGTATTATAAAATTATTACTTATGTGCACAGTCCTGATATCTATAGACATGGCACCGTGAAGAAAGCCTGGTTCCTAAGCATTTTTACAGATACTTGATAGTGATGCAGTTTGCTATCAGTCAGATCATAGTGTCCCTTCAACTTTGGTACATTCAGTGCAAAATATTTTTGGGAGGTTTTTTTACTCTTATAAAAATAAAAGGCATTTTTTTCCCCTTGAGAGTGCTTAAAGAATAAACACTAGCAGAATGTCTGTTCAAGCATGGAAAGTGACAAAAACAGAAATAGGATTTTAGTTTGCTTGTTTCCTGTTTATACTCTAAGAAACATAATATAATGAACCTATAAAAATAAACAGAAGTCACTGTGTTAGGGTTTTTTTTCCTGATATGTTGGGATAAATTGCTAGTTTCTTCTTAATATGGTTTCCATGCAGTATAAAGCATAAAATCAGTCATATTAAGTTCATTATAACAGCTCATCTTTTGTCATACACACCACTGGCAAACACATTTCCACAAACCTCCTTAATGCAAGCCGTTGTTGTTACATCCTTTGTTGCTGACCTTCCTTCCAACTCACTTCTGCCCCGGGAACTTGAGCTCTATGGTGCACACCATGCAGGCACTCTTATCTTAGGTAAAGCAAGTACTGGATATGCTATTGTAACATATGGCATAATGTACCTTCATGAATAAATTAAAAAAAAAAAATTCTATGATTTTTGTCATAATTTACTGGGTAGGTATGGGGCTAAATGATTTCACATTTTGACTCGAATTTTCTATTCAACAGCTCTGATGAAATCCAGTTTTTGGGTGCATGTCAGTTTTGCAGTAGCCAGGTTGATTACAACATGGGATCACATTTCTTGTTTGCTCACAACATAAACTTAAGAAGTTTAGCCATCCTGAAAAACCATGGATTGCAAGACTTGGTTTTCCCTGCACATCAGGCACACTCTAGTTTCACTGTAGAGAATTCTGCCACTACCACAATGCTTTTTAAGTGCTTCATAAGCTTTTTCATGGAACCTCATTATTTGAATTGCACCGTGAAACAATTTTCTTCTAGGAAATCCAATACAAACGTTCATTCATTTCCTTGAGAAGACAGATCCACAAAAGTCCAATGAGCTGGGCACTGTGGTTTGTGTATCACTCAAGTCCAAAAGTACTTGTCTCTTCAACTGCTGTCAACAGTTTTTCATATAACATAGAGAATGATGGGTAAGGGGGAAGGTCCAGACGATTGAAACAAGTGTGAGCCCTGAGGGGGGGAAAAAAGAGGAGATGAAGAAGTACATTATTTTAAAAGTTCAAAAGAGAACACACAGACTGGTATGTGCTTGCATAGAGATGGGCAGATAGTATTCTTTCAGAAGACTTCGTTCTACCTAATGATGTTTTCCAATTGAACAGGTAGTGAGGTTTAATCTACTTTTTTCTAATTAAAATAAGCCGGTCAGAAGCATTTACAAAGGTCTTTAGAAACACACTGACAGCCCAAAAGGCATGGGATGAATTTTATCCATTAAACGTGCATAAGAATGAGATAACATCATACATTTCAAATAGTCTGTTCTGAAATCTTGGCTTTAAATGTATCTTCTGAGAAGTAGTATTTTTTTCCTGTACTGATGACATTTCAACCCTATATTTGTAATCATAAACAAGATATTTCAGTACATTGAATATGCATATGATATTAGATGTGATGATATATTAAAAAACACTCTAGGTATACAGGAAACAATCCTACAGTAGTAAAGGACAGACAAATCAGATGCTCTTCCTTCCACATTTCCTTGGCAAATGGATCGTGTTCTTGGGAAGTTACTGCTTGTGCTGATTTACACTACGTACATAGCTGGCCCTGCACGCCAACGACCTTTAGAATAATACTTTTTGTAATTACACAAAACTATGCACGTACCTCTAGCATACCATCCTGCTTTCTTAAGAGGACATGTGATTTATTTCTCAGTTTCCAAAGTCCATCTACCTCAGTTTTTTGACACACTTGGAACTGACTCTTGAAACCTCTTCCAGGGAATGAAAAGAGAGATAAATAAAGGTTTCTCCCTCTTAGAGTAATGGATATCATTGCCTGACTCAGAGCAGGCTAAGGATAATACTTTCTAACACACTATAGTGGACAAGCCTTCTCTAGTGAAATAGATAGCATAACTATTAATGCGATGGCTTGGTTCTTGAGGAAGAAATGATGCAAAGAGAAGCTGGAGGAGGCATCTTTTCTGCTCTGAAGCTTTGTACCAAAGCCTCACTTTAGACTGACGTTAGAGGATAAAAATCTTTCTTGTGTTTTCATAGGTCTCTGTTTACAAATACTTTGTTCTTTTGTAATAAAGCATATCGCAGAGTTATTTAAATACAATCCAGTTGAAAAAAAAACTTTTTGGGCAGTGACCTGCCCTTCATCAGTATGACCCGTATTAAGTGTAAATGTATAATGTCAATGGAAGGACTGACCAAGCTCCCTCCTCGCAGTAAACGCGACTCTTCATTTAACCTAAACACTCCCAGAAATCTGAGTGTCTCCAACAGACCTGTGCTGAGCTTTCTTGGAGCCAGAAAGTGCTGCCTTCTGTAGGAGCAAATTTATTAATAGCCATTTTAAGTGGCTCTTAGCTCCCACCTACAGGGATAGAACATGAAGTAGGTTAATCTCATTTGTTAAAAACATAAGTCCATTACAAACCCTCATTAAAGGTGAAACACTCAGTTACGAGCCTTATAGTGTCGTAAAAATATCAGGCTGAAGAAATGCATACACAGTACAGAAGGTCACACTTATTATAAACACAGTCCAAACATCAAATACACTTTAAAAAGCATTGAATTTTATACCCTTCCCAAATACAGCACACGTAGAAGTACATTGCTAATACATGCTGTGTAGCACAGAGGGCATTTCCCCACCCTGTATTCCAGGGGCCTGGTAAAATTTCTCTACCCTTCCATCCCTCTAAGGGTCCTGGAGGAAAGCTTTCTTTGTACTCCTTGTTTGCCTTTCCAAAAACCTTACAAAGTAATATCTGTGATATAGATTAAATTATTACTGCCTTCCCTGCACTTTTTTTTTTTTTTGAAAAAGAAAAAAAGAAATTTGAAGAAAGAGACTGATTTAGACCCAGCAGCAAATGGCCGCCAGGAACTCGGTGATCCCTTGAGTTCAGTGCAGAGCGTGGAAGAGTCTTAGGCAATTAACAGTCTAACCACATGTTTCTGCTGCATGGGGCTGACAGCCACTCATTAGAACTATGGATCATGCTGTGTGGGCCGTAAACCCACAAATTATAAAAGACATAGTATATAATTAGCAAGGAATTCATTACAAACTGGTTTAATAGTAAGCCAGTATGTTGTTTACATTTATTAAGAGAACTGAGTTTTATCTTAATTTTGAGGGCAATTTTGAAAATGCAATCACCTACTTTGGAAAACCAAGTCATTAAAAAAAGACAAAAACTTAAGATCTTTGTCTTCTGAGGGAATGCATGCCTTTCTCACCCTAGCAAGCAACTTTGTAAGTCTCCAACAAGGAAGGTTTTGGTTTTTTCCTCTGGACAGTATTTTCCCCATTCCAAGATTTCAAACCACATGGGCACTAACTTTTCATCTTCCTGGACTCATATTTTATGACAACGTGAAAAAACATCTTGGTTCCTGAAGTCTAGATTCCCAATTAATCTCCCCTTCATTTTGATTACAGGAGTAAAATAGCGTGACTTAGGGTTAAAATCTAGCAGTCAGACATGAATACTATTAGCACGTGAATCATCACATGCATGTGTATATAATGTACAGCAATAAGTCTAGAACCAATTTCTCAGCAGGTAAGTGAATTGAAAGAGTAACAGTCCCTCCACTGAGTTAGTGTAACCTACAATACAGTGTGACAGAAGGGAGTAGAAGTGGCATCAGGGATAGCAATAGTTAAGCTAAACCTGCAACCATGAATCTTTTCAAGGCGTTTACATGCTACTGACTTACTAGTGCAAAAGAGAGTGATACAAGCTAGGCAACCTGACATGCGCCTCACAGAAACGTCACTATTTTTATTCAGCAGAACTGATTACACAGCAATCAGAACAGCGGCAACTAGGTAAACATCTAGTGAATGCTTTTGTGTTCATATTCACAGTTGCTTAGACCACAGTCACATACATAAGTAACTATATTAGTTGCCTTCTGTGTCTCAAAATCAGGAAGAAGAGATGGGGTTGGGTATTTTTATGTGTTTTCAGCAGTGCAGTAGTGTTTTTAGAAACAGAGGAAGAAACATAAAATCCATACTCTCGTTGAGTCCTAGCTTTTGCCATCCTCACACCATATATTATCGAATTTCACAACCACTCCCACTGAAATCAAAAGGGCAATTTGCAAAGTGTAACACTGCTACGAGTGAGTGACGGTGCCTTAACACAAATGCTTTAGTTATCTAAGAATCAGTAAGAGTCACAGAGTCCTAGGGCAGCATTCTCAGCAGATCCAGCAATGTGTTTACACACGCAGGGCTTGTTTGGAAACCTCTTGAAAGTTTGCTACTCGGGGTCGTTGTTAACAATGTCTTACCTTCAAGCCAGTACTACCTGGTGTTTGCACAATAAGTCTTTGAAGCTGGTTAGACGCAGGCTGAAGCTACAGTGCACCCAGGAACCAGAGATGTAACAATGCAAATACTCCTTTCTGCTTAGGGCTTAGTTCATTTAAGCATAAATGTGGAAGATCATTTATTTTTTTTATGAGATCAAGGTTCCATGTATGAATGCCAGAAATTGTCTCATGACAACTGTAGATGTTTGTCATATGCAGTTGTTTATTTTAACCAAACAAGTGTGTTGTTAAAATATTTTAATCCTCACACTTGTATGTTAAAAACTAGCCACAGAGACAAAAATCAAATGTTTCCTAAGCAATGGAATCATAAATGAAATGTGAAGATCTGGCATTTCCCCTACACTTGCTGAACACCTTACGGTAGCAAAGATTCTTGACATGTTTCTCCATGTTGCTCTACAGGAAGTGGTTTTATTCTGCAGTTTATTACAACCAGGGTTCTATGTAACCTTTTCAGACGAAATTCTGAGCCGCCTGTTCAGGCACGTCCTGACCTTTTCCACACGGTAAGCTGTGCTTGTTAGCTCCAGGAATTCCAACATTAAAGCATATATGGAAAAACTCCCACCATCTCTTTTCTTACTTAAACTCACACAGAAATCTTACATTTTGAAGTCAGAAATTATTTTTTTTAAAAAATAAAAATCAAAGCTTTTTCTTTTTAAACAGAAGCAAAGCTAGTCCATAGGTCAATCGTAATCAAACTATAAAGTAGACTTACCTGGCTACAAGGTATTACTAGGCCCCCAAGAGATTAGAGTATTTGATTTGAAATAGCAATTTCCAGAATTTGCATATCTTTAATCCTTAGTTGCCTGGCTCTCATTCGTACTATAAACTGGCAAGATGGCTTTGTTTAAAGGCCACCTGCTGTGTCTGTGGATTTCACAATGCCACTTCTGCATCTTTCAGGCTTTCTCAATGCGGTTCAAATGGCAGCCTGCAGGCAGGAGCCAACCCAAGAGACATCTCAACCTCTCACTTTATGCTGGAGGAAAAAGCTATGGGTTGTTGGTCAGAGAAACTCTCCATGTGTCTGACAGCTGCCTTGTGTCTAAAAAGAGACTGTGAATGCAAGTTATTCCTGAGGAATCTTGTTTAAGAGGAATAGGCTAAGATTAGGGTTGAATTTCCTCCATGGCTGAGCCCAGTCCAAAACTACTACCACAGGCTATAAGCAGCATACTAAAACTGAGATCTGATTAAGTGGAGTTAGTTCACCCACACTCCACACACTAATCTGTATTTCTAACCACTGTTAACCCATTCTAGAGGCTCCAGAATTATAGAACTGGATGAAAGGAAATCTTCTAGAAACATATCAGCCTGATCGCAATATAGAAAAGGCGAGAACCTACCTGGTACAACTCAACTCCCACTTTCATATCTTGGACTCTCATGCTCTTCCTTTACCCTTTTCACATATTTCAATTGACCCTACTTGTGCTCTTTGAAATCTTCATCTTCTCTTGTCCCTGTGCTGCCTCTTAAGTCAAATGACCCCCTCCTCAAAATACACCTCTTCTGCAGTTCATAACTTGCCTCTTCCGTATTTGTAACACTCTTGACATCAGACAAAGCATAAACTTTACATCACTAAGCTATACTCTAAAGGCTACATGCGTCTAATCCAAAAAGTCTGATATTAGCTTTCACTCAGAGTCACAAGTGCTATTTAATTTTAATTCATATTAATCTTTGCTCCTAAGTGATGAACTGCATGTTCAGGAAGTAAATACTACACATCTAATCAAAATATAACAAAATCAAATTCAGAAGTAGTTATGATTCTAGTATCATTTTCCATGAAAAAAACATTACAATATGGATGTCAGACACAGTTACACTGCCTTGTCTATCGTATGAGAAAAAAAATCAGTTCAAAGAAAAATGGACACATCAGACACTGGAACAATGTGGAAGTAAATTTTGATGTAAGGCATAGCGCATTTACATATTTGGTTAAAACTTGTTTACATTTCTCAAACAGCTCATCTATTATCCTGGTAACTGATATTCTAAAGTATCTCTAGTATGAATATACACACAGTTGTACCTTGGAAGAGCAGTGATCTTCCCCCACTTCTCTACGCAGAACCTTCTTGGACCATTGCTCCCCCGTAAAGAGGCAAATCCTTCGTAAGGTATGCTGGATGTGCCTGTAACAAACTGCCAGTGCAAACAATGTCACAGACATTGGGTACACAGATGGTGCAGGTTAGAAATTTATTTATATCAGCATACCCATTGAAGTCCAAATGCTTCTGAAAAAGCATTTGCAAAATAAGGAAATTTGTGAGACATGAGTAATAAATGCTAGTTTAAACAGAGGATAAGGGAAAATAGACCATTTTCTGATAGGGCTCTAGCAGAAACAACTTATCAGATTAATTTCCTCCAAAGGTTTCTCTTTGAAAGAGTAATTAATGCTACATAAATACTGTAGAATAAAACACTATTAATATCAAGTTACTTAACCTTAGGCCTAAGTGAGTTTTTCCCTACTGTTTTTATTCTGTATTAAGAACAACTAACAGAATAGTAGTCATGTATGATAATGGCTTCGTGCTAAGGCTTTTTGGCTACGTGGATTTCAGTATCTTTATAAACTGTTATTAAAAGCTATAAGAAAAGGACTAAATTCTGGAAGTTAGGTAGAATGCCCACTGACATTTGCTGAAATGCTGTCTATTGAGCAGATTTAGTTAGAACCTGTCATGAACAGATCAAACATGGCTTTTGACAGATCAGAGGCTACTTAATTTTTAATGATCTGGATATGATAAAAACTTTTGACTAACAGATGCGATAGGAACATATAAGCAGACATTTCTGGCTCTACATCAAATGAGATGTACTGGACTGCTTTTTACAGATCTTTTAAAAGTTTTTAAACAGTTAAAAAAAGAAAATCCTTCATCATACTCATCGAGGTAACTCAGTGATCAGATGCAAATTCTGAATTGTTAAAAACAGTGGATTTCATAATAAATCAAGAACACGGTATGGTTTGGGGTGGAAGGTTGTCTGTTTCTTTACAGATATGATGGACATAACCTGAATTTTAAAAAAATCTAAATCAATAGTAAACCCACATTCCTCTGTTGAGAGGTTTTCGTCCTTCATCAGCAGGACAACTGGATTCTGCAGGCTGACTTAGTGAAAATGGAATTGTACTGATTTTCAGGTTTTCATCATTATTTTCTAATTTGAGGCACTTTAATTTCCATCTAAGCTTTCTCCTTCCTAAGCTGTAGAAATATTATTAAGATTTCTACCTAATGATATAATCAATTACACAGTTTTCTAGCTTTACTAGTCTTAATGTACTCTTAATTGAACAATAGTAAAGGATTATTGACATCAGATGCTTTGCCTTAAATGTATTTTTTAACTTAGAAATCTATTAAAATAGCCGTGAGCTTCACTCACTCAAAATTAGTACAGCTAGTCTCTGAGGATTGTCAGGTTATTCCCAGCTAGCCAGCATCACCATCATTTTTGGATGTCATAAACCTGGATGAGACTAGTTTAGCATCTAATTTTAATGATGCACACTATTTCTACACAGATCAGTTGATTGCTTACCTGTAGAAGTCTTAGTCGTTGTTCATTGTTGAATCTTTCTACAGCAGCCCAGAACCACCGAATTACAATGTGATTGTCATGATAACCTGTTAAAAGAAGAAGAGCCTTTATACCTTTGCATACTACAAAAGTGGTTGAGAGAATAGTTAATGAGTTTTTCCTAGTTTGGTCCTAGTCACAACAATGCCACATTTCTTATCCAATTGCAGCAAAAACCAGGAGGTAGCGAAGAATACTCCTGAAATGCTTAAAAATCTTAAAAGCAGAGAATTAATTTACTATGACAGGAAGGAGTGAAATCTCTTTTGCAAGCTTTTCTTCCATTAATCATGGAATGCCAATTCATGGAAATATTTCAATGCTATACTTTTTATGTATCTCAAGCTACAAATGATGCTGCAAAACCATCTCTCTCAAAGTAGTTCCCAAATCTCCCATTGTTCTTGAATTATCTCAACTGCCAGCCTGCAGTCACTGGGATTACTTCTAAATTCCTGTCGTCTCAGAGTGGAAAAGAGGCAGATCCTACTGAGAATGGTTACCATTTCCTTTTGTCTCCAGTGTCTAGGTGGTACTCTAGTAGTGTACAGGTGAGCACAGTACTTTCTGTGGAGAAGACTGCTCTGTTATGCTGTCCAGACAAAAATAGTAAGGGAAGAGCTGCATGGGGAAGCAATGAAGCAAACTAAAATGAACAAATTAGCTTCTCCTAACCAAACTTAACCACAGAATTCAGAAGATACTAAAGATGTGTGTCATGGGATGGTTCTTTAGTGTCTTAAAAACTGGGTAATTCCAGGCCCCCCAGCACTGTCACTGAACAATTCAAAATTAAGGTTACCTCCTCTATACTCTGTATTATTTCTCCAGTCGCTCAAGTCAATTTCTGCTGTTCCAGCTATAACCAGTTCCAGTTCTCTGGCATCAAACACAGACACGAGCCTCGCATCAACCACCTGTGAAAGGAAGTAAAATACATACCAACATTTCTTCATTTATTGATTTTTGCCTCCCCGTAGCAGGCTTGTCTGCTACTAAGACATTTATCAGGTAACATTGCTCTCACAAATGGAAATAATTAAGGTGGTTTTTTTTTTCTTTTTAAAGGCAAATAAATGGACTTCTTTTTCTTACGCTGCAGCTCCAATCAGTTTCATTAGAGGATCACAGTGAGTGGGAGAGAATTTTATTGGCAAATAATATTGAATTATTTCAGGACAAATTAAGTTCAATACATTCAATTTAATTGTTCACGTTAAAACAGATAAGAGAGTAATACCTTGAAATACACTCAGTCTGCCGTGTTACAATGAGTACAGCATGCACACAAAAAACCCCCAAAGGCCCAATGAAGAGACAGATGGGTCACTTTAGCAAACATTCACTGCCAATCATACAAATAGTGATCAATAGTATTTTCCAGTTTAAAGAAGATATATAACCATAGTGTTTAAGTCAATGACTAACAATTCCAAACGCCCCCTCCCCCCCAACATCAGCAAGATCATGTATCTATCTGCTTTGTGGGACTCTGTATTTGGGAAATGCATGGGAAGAGAAAAATACTTTGGGAGGATAAAGGAAAAAAGTAAATTTCATTTTAGATTTTTTTACCTCATAAAAACCACGGACTAGACTTTCTGTTTGTTGTACAACTCCTCTCTCAATTCTCCATTTCACCATTCTTTCTATATATTCTTTCTTGTTCTTTTCAGTGACTGGGATGTTGGCACCTCCTGGCTTTAATTCCCGTTCTGTGATCTTAGGAAAAAAAAGACCAGGTGACAACACAGTATTATAAAGATAAAAGAAAGAATTAAAATAATTTAAACTTTTAAGTTGAAGTAATTCCTCAAAAGCACTAGCCAAGACTGACTTTAGCAGACTGGAACACGTGAAGTAAGGGAACATACAACAAATCTTTTTTTTTATAAAATCATATTTAAAATCCCATTTAGTCTGAAGAATCTTCATATTTAGTATGAAGAATAAGCTGAGAAGAAACAATCCTTACAGTGATTAAAGTTGTGAAGTCTTCTAAATAATATCATAACAAAGGTGTTGTAACACCTTTGAATGCTAACTCTGCTGCAATTAAATTCAGGTAAACTACCTCCAGCAGAGCAATCCAAAATTTTGATAATTTCAGATAGTGTCCAGAAACTCTCCTTAACTAGAAAGACACATTTGACCAGTTACAAATAATAATTCCTTCTTGGATTCAACATTGTTTTCATCAACCAGAATTTTATAAAAACAAGTTCAAATCAGAATGAAATGATAATCATTCTTCTGCCCAAATAAATGTTTATCTAGCAGTAGAATACACAAAGGAAATTAAATTAAGAATCTTACACACCTGCCCAAAAACTTCCTCATTTACAGTAAACGTGAGATCTAGGATATCATGAATGTCATTGTCTTTCATCCACTGCAAACTCTGGTGAAACTCCTCGTCGAGATATTCCAGGTCACTCAGGTCACAGAGTCTAACAGAAACAAGAAGAAAACACACCAATAGACATGACAGTAGCAGTGTGTGCTCAGTAACTAAACTCAGATAGGACAGTCCTGAAAAACAGACTGAGAATGGGACCCAAAAGAAAAATCAACAGAATAAACAAGACACTACTTCAGATCTCTGTTTATTTGCCTAGTAATAGCAGTTACTGTATAACACAAAATGGTTTTGTTAATATACAAAACACCAGAATTTATTAATTTGAAGACGCGTTTCTTTTTAAGCTTATGGCGAGTCTGTCCCTTGTTTCCTGTGAAGAATATTTTGGAATTAAGAAAATACATAGATTGAAGAGATAAAGAATTCAAATCATAAAAGAAATGGTAAGTTTTTATAACAAGCAACTACTATCCTTTTTGCTTATGTGACTACACTGCCACCTCTCTCGTCTCTTCATTGTGCAAAGACATCTGCTCAGATACCCTGCTTACCACAGAAATATCTTTTTACTTTTTGCCATATTTCCCCTTACCTGGTCCCTGTTTTAGAAATCCAACCTGTAAGCCAACTGCCCCTTGCTGTCTTTAACAGTTACTACTCCAGGTTTTGAACATGTCAGCTGTTAATAATATTTAATACCATGGTGGCAATTTCTGCCATTCTTCTTTACTCTTTAAATCCTCTTCTGTGAATTAGGACGCTGGGGCTATTAAGAAAGGTGCTCTTCAGCTGCAGGGTTCCCTGCCTGCTTCTATTCTTGGGTCTGTATAAAGTCAGAAGAAAGCCCTGTACTTTTAGTTGGACGCTCAAGTATAGTTTAAGTGACATCCTGCAGTAACAGCCCCTACATCAAAGTTGATGGATTGGGCACAATGTCCTGTCTGCAGAGGTAGTCTGGGTGGCTGACCAGTTCTGAGGAAAGCGAAGGTCCAAGGCTTAGATAGGGAAGTTGCATGAAATATAGGCTGTGTACAAAGGTGGCTGCCCCAGAATTTTTAATTTTACTGTTTAAAGAACAACCAAGTTAAACAATTAACTTAATTTGGCAGTCACAAAATATTAGTATTAAAGTCCTTCTGGGTAAGTCCTCTTTCTTATTATAATGATTCTGTTGGCATTTAGGTACTTGTAAAATATGCGTGCAATAGGAAAGGATGCATTACTCCACAGTACTAGAACATATGATGTTTTATACAAAAAGTATCATTCCAGACTTCGCAAAACCAGCTTTCAAATGGAGAACAAAAAGTGAAGCACCTTAACGTCATTGGGTCTTAAATTCCAGACGTGCTAGGCAAGTGCAACTCTCATTGTTCAGAACAGGAGCAGTAGTTCTGAAAACAAAGTCTAAAGTATATCAAAGTAAAGCTCCTCAAAACACAGATTGCCAACAATCAGTCTACCTCTGAGAATGGGTCCTGCAGTCTTAACTTACAAAGTGATTCATATCCTATTCTGTTAGTCATTACAAGGCAAATGAATAAGAACTCTATTAATACGTGGAATAAAACCACAGCGTTTCATTGTACAACTTCAAATGTAAGATTTTGTAGAAAAAAGCTACAAAGATAACAAAGCTAAAACAAAACATGATGTTTTCATACTGATCAGAAACAACATTCTGAGTTACTAGGTAACTGGCTAATAACCATAATCAGAAACAAGTAAACTTTTAAAAAAGTCCTGGGTTGAAATGAAATTATTAAATTATAGATAATGGCCTGTCTTCTTTGCCAATACAACATCGTTATTTATCCATACACAAAATGGCATCATCCATGGGGAAGGAACCAAACAAAAAAAGGAGACAGAACAATTCTACTCACATTCGGAGGAGGGCTTTATAAAAGGGCCGTGTAAAAAAGGCATCTAGCAAATACTGATGTATCAAAGCAAGACCAAGAATTCGACCACTAAACCTGAACCTGGAAGAGAAAGAGTTACAATCGTTATGCTGAAACTTTGTGGTTTGTACACTGCTCTGTCATCAAAACTTACATATATTTCCAAACAGCATTTTTAAATCAGATAGCTATGTCTAAATTGTGGTTTGGTTGTTTTTGGTTTTTTTTTCCTTGTGTTTCTTTTACATTCTCAGTAAGGCACAGAAAAAATGCAAGTCTGCAGGGTGTGGAAAATCCCTCAGATACCTAAGGTGGAACTTCTCAAAAATGTCAAATCCATATTAACCCAATCAACCCCTGCCAGACCAGCCTCTTTACAAAAGCATATCTTCCAAAGTGATAGCTACTGTCTATTTTCTTTACACACCCCAACAAGGATTAACTTGTTTTCGCGTTACTGGGAGGCCAAAGGTTATTCTACCCTTTCCCAGCCTGACAGATCTTGCTGTCTGTCTTTTCTGCTTACAGTGGCTCCTTGCTCCCTCTTCTGACTGGTGATTATGGAGTTCTATATATATTGTCACAAAGAGCAACTGGAAGCTTTTTTTACGTATCGCAGTGTTCTCTAGGCCTATGTCAATGGGATCTAAATGATCTTGTCCTCTCCCCTCTCACTTTCTTCCCTTAATTATCTTCATTTTGTCAGGTGTGTAAGGAGGGCTGGGGGAAGAGGGTGGGAGTTTGATAGATTTGAGATCAGATGACAGCAACTTTGAAACAGTAGGGTCTTTGCAAATATTCCCATGAGAATAAAGATCCAATGTGAAAAATCCTCCACACCTCTGGAACTAGATTTAAGTCTAGTGTTCTTTTTCAAAGAAAGTAATATTTCTTAAACTTTCTGTTTATGCATCCTCAGCCACGTTTTTTCTTGGAAAGGTTAGGGTTTTATCATACCTGCCTGTACACAGGGTTTGCAAGGTGAGGCTCTGACATGCAGAGCCTTCTCCTTCCATGCATAACTGCTTGTCACAGCTGCATTCTCTGAATTTCCCCTGAGGCTGTATAAGACCAGTGCTGTTACTGGCACCAGCATTCCCAGAGAGAGAGAGAGGATCACGCCTCCCTTGCCCCCAAGGTCTCTGGTCCGGCAGTGCAGAAGCCAGTGTTGAATACAAAATTTGGCAGAAACCTGAATAGCACATGAGGTTTTTTCTCCCCTTTTTGCCGGACTGTTCTGCTTTTCCAATACAGCATATGCCATTTATTGTTGCACTACTGGACTTCAACAGGTAGGTTGCTTCAGCTGAACTGGATGCAGCCAACCATTTAATTTTCTATTAATTTTTAAAACTCGTAAGGAGATTCTGGCTTCCAATAAATAAGAACTCAGTACATATCTGTCCCACACAGATGAGCAGTTGTCATTCCAGTATTACTGTAATCTAACTACCTAGACAACAAAATTCTCTGTTAATATTCACAGCATAGCTTTACAGACTTATGGTGATGCCATGGCTTAAATCAACTGAGAGTGATTTAAACTGGCTTATAGTTGTGAAAATGGGATTATGTAAAACTCCTCGATAACTATTTTAGAAGCATGTGTGTATGTACAGACTTTGCTTAGGAGCTATGTAATCAGTAGTCTTTCTCCTACCCCCAATTAAGATACCTCCATAGATTTCCTTCCAAGTGGTATGTTGGGATTTTTCCACTGAGGAAACCTCTGTACTCTTTAGGAAGACTCAGACAAATGACATACAGTAACAACTCTTTGAAATCTCCCTTAATCTCCTTAGCTGGCAAAAAGCCAATGCTTCATTCTTTCTTTTTTTAATGCATAAGAGGCTAATACTGCTTTCATGAAATGACTGCTAATGTACAAGAAACGCAGACAGCCGAGTTGTGAGACAATCCCATGGTACACGTTCCAAATCACAGTTTTGCTGACCTTGTGAGAAATAAGATCATTTGAAACCACAAGAGAAAACAAAATCAGGAAAGTCTAAAGAAATGCAATTATTTTGCTGCTGGTTAAAAAGATCAGATTCTGTATTATATGTCTGAGCAGATATGAGCAGTTGTCTACAAATGGGAAAAACAGAAAACATATCTGAAAAACAAAAAAATAATTCTTACCACTCATGATGATTGTCTACAAAAGCAGACATGGGACTTATTTGTACTGTATAGGTATCGTTGGCTGAATACTCAAACAAACCATAATATGGATTGAAGAGCTCTCTAGACACCAGGAAAAAAAACTCTCTTGAAGGCCCACTGTAGTCCAACCTTTAAAGAGAAAATTGACATTACTATAAAGTGTTCGTTGCAAAGAAACGCTTTTTTTGAATCTACATTCCTTACGCTGTATTTTAATTAAAATTTCATAAGATTTTAACCAGAACCCTTATCCTGCAGATTGCTTAATGCCAAGGTATGCGAAGTCCTCGAGAGGCTGTTCTGAAATGGAATGGCTTGGAGAACTGAAGTGCTCTATGTGGGCTACTCTCATAAAAAGTTTTGGCTCCAGCTGTAATGGCCTCTTTGCCACAGGAATATAACCAAGTAATTGAGGGTGGAGGGGAGGAAGAAACATGAAAAGAACCAACATTAGACCTATGTGCATCTGACAAATTAAGAATGAAAATGAACAATGGTCATATTTTGTCTTTGCAGACTTGCAACAATGGGACAATTTGAAGGATAATATTTCTGTTTTCCCTAGCAATATAATCTGAGATTTCTTCTGATTTATCTTTCTTGGTCTAAATTTTCTTGTCTGTCTTCCAAACTTGAGTGCATTTAAATGTCTTTTGGAGAGTGCATTTCCTTTGGTTGGTTTTTTGTTTTTTGCTATTTCAAGATTCCAGTACTAATGAACAAGAAATCTAAATAACCCCTTCTTCCTGAATCATAAACAAACTCATTGCTGACAAAGCACTGAAACTGAATTTTGACATTATGCTGCAGGTCACCAATGAAATGAGTGAAGTATGAAGTTAATGCTCTGGTAGAGTTGGAAAATGGAAAACTAGGGTTTTCCCTATGGGGAACAAATATTATTATAATCCTAACAAATAGATATAAAGATATAACTTCTATAGATTGAAGATTTCATACTTGACTTTTAAGGTCTTGCATTAGTACTAAGAAAATGCAGAGACAGAGGTATCACAGAAAAGGTCAGCTTTCACATAGGACTTCTGCTACTAATGTTTTAGCTCATGAAATTTTACATAAGACAAACATAGATGAGAGCTGATTTTGAGGATGAAGTTGTCAGGAAAGTAAAGGCTAGGTACCATTATCAAGTTGAGGACGAAGCCTCTTTCCTCTGTGAATGAAAAACATTTTCCCTTCAGTCATTTGGAAGCACTTCGCTTCTGTTAAGCTTCAGAAGTGAAGTACTGAAACAGATCCTTACCCTGGCAAGAAGGGCAGATTCCATCCTCAAATTGCAGAAAAAACCCAAAATGGTTTGCTATCATGGACAACTGTTGGATCTTAATCTTGGCACAAATACCAGGATCAAGTAAAGGGTCATCTGGAAGACTCTTGCAAACTTCTGGAATAATCAGACTCACTGTGAAGTCTTAAGATAGAACAGAAACTGTGTGCTTGACTACCAGCCGTTCCATACAGCTCCTTTTGTACGCAGAGTTACTGTGAGTCATGTTAAATAAATCAATCATGAGAGTCCTGCACTGCCAGTCAGATTTATCCCACAATTAAAGGCTTGGCACAAGGGTGAGAAAACTTCATACAAGAGGTATGCAACCACACAACAGCTGCAAATGTAGGGCATTTGGGTATTCAGGAATAAAGTAATATGTTGTTGGCAACATGACTCATGTCTCCTAGGAAGCATCATTAATACTTCAGATTTACCACTCTTAAATGCAAAGGAGCTTCTGCTAATAGTTAATAGAACTTAGGGAAAATAAATTTAAGGAACCATATTCTTTGTATCAGAATTTTTTTCATTTATCACCACGTGAAGTATGAATCTAAAAATATTAAACTAGCATCATAATTGCATGACTGTAGAAATTGAAGGTTCAAGGAAGATACCAAACATCATGAGACTTATGTTAAAAATCATATGATCAGCAATAACTATGTCTGAGTTGCCCCACTAATTTATACACTAATAAATCAATAGTTACTAAAATCTTTTCATTCGTGAGGATTTCATTACCCATTCTGTTAGGACTTATACCTCTTTACCGAGAGGAAAAGACATGCAAGAGCAAACTCACACTTAAAAACTGAAAAAAGGAAAAGGAGGAGCAAATAGGAAACAATTAACTTTCAGTATTCCTCCTCCTCCTCGTCCTTTCCTCCACCCTGACCTGTCTTTCTACACCTAGCCAAGTGAGTAGTTTGATGTGATACATATCCTTGCACCATCTCTGATGAAACAATACTGTTTGCACACATCCTTTCTTCATTCAAAACACAGATTTGTAAACAGAGAATTGACGTCATTTTAATTTGATTTTGCTCTTAGTTAACTCATTCTCTTCCATTAAGAAGACAGTCTTGCGTAAAGGTAGATATAATAGGAACAGGATATGTCACCTCCATTTCCAGGTCACTCTTCATCTTGCTGTAGTGAGCGATGAAATGCAAAAGCCTGACATCTGATGAAAGGAGACAGGCTATCTGGATCAATCTCTATCTCATGTATGATTTTGAAATTTTCCCTTTCATTTCTAAATCTGAGTCAGGGTTATGGCTGTGAAAGTAAAGGCTGGTAGGGCTGTGTAAGACAGGCCTTGTTTCTGCATCCCCACCCTGTTCCGTCAATATAGCATAATCTCATCCTGCACCAGCCTTGTCATTCCAGTTCTTGAGTTTTTCCTCAGACAGCACGGTGATATTATTTATATGAACGAGTCCACACTTGGCTCTCAGCTGTCAACATTTTTTATTTTAAGACTTCAGTAAGTCCTTATTAACACTACACACTTCAGGGTGAACTTTAAACAACAGGATTTAGGGGTTTTCAAAGACAGATTAATTTTATCTAATCTTGTATGAGATGTTTCTATTACAACTTAGCTATTTTAAAGACATGCATCACGTGGCAATAATGCACGTGATTCCAAGAGCTGTGTGTTGCAGTTTCCTAAATATCAAAGAATAAAATTTTGAATGTATTTACAAATACATTCATGAAATGTATCAATAAAAATATTTGTGCCTAAGGCAGTAGACTCTAAAATCTGACAAAGGGAGCACAAATCAAGAGGCAAAAGAGGCAAATAGTACATTGTTCGATTTTACTTGCAAAGAAAATCTAACCAAATCTTACACTGCAACGCTCATCTCACAACCTGTAACACGTTAGACTTTTATTAGACACAGACTGAGCATTCTCTGAAGTGACTTTGAAATGGCAGGAATATTTGTGTTTATTTGACAACTAGCAACAGCCTGGTTGCTTTTATTTGTGACACAGGCCCTGGCCAGGAGAGGCAGAGAGCACCTCCTGTAGCACAGAGGGCTTTCAGCTCCCGTCGCCTCAGACAGGAGTTGAATTAAGGATTAAGCCTCTAGCCTGCTCCTGAAGCACCCTCTTTCCAACAAATGGCAGCTGTCTTTTAACAGGCACTGGAGATACAATGTCAGCACTGACAGAAAAGAAAAATTAATAACACAAGAAAGTTGTTTGTTTTCTCTTTGCTTTCCCAGCAACATTCTGAAACACACACCATCTATTGTGAAAATTCACATAAACACACACATTATTTCTGCAAAGGCAGGATACATTACATTTCCCAATGCCTAAAAAGTCATCTTGAACAGCTGTATGTTCTAAGCTTATTTATATGGCATTTCCTGACTGCAATCCTTCCTCTTTTCGCTCTAGACCACAAGAAATTTCATGAAACAGCAGTGCAAGACACCGAGTTTTGAGATCACATTTACTTCCCTGTTCTACTCACCCTTCTTCCCCAACAAACGTGACATAGAGTTTATTTCTCTGCAGGTCTTTTCTCGAGTAGCCCATGATCTGGTTAAAGGCATCTTCTAGCAAGTGATCTCTCCTGATGATTAATCTGAAGAGCAAAATAATTTTGAAACAGCAGTTTGTGAACATGAACCACAGCTGGAAACTTCTATTTACACTGCAAAGTAACAGGGTGACTTCATAGAGATACATGTTTCTGCTGGATAATTTGATCCAGGCCAGGCAGCTTCTGTCTGTTAGTCTGTCTCCCTCAAAGATCTACTTCAGATTTCAATAAAATGTGTCTTGTACAAAAAAGTGTAGTTTTATTTTTTCTAACCTGGTTCTTCCTTTATTTAAAGGCTTCAATGGGAAAGGTGCTGAAGTGAGCATTTTCATTAAATTTAAAATCCTTTTGTAAGGCTGGACCTCTAAATCAGTCTTACTGTAAGCAAGAATCTAACCTTTTATGTAAAAAATCAATCTCTTAACATGGAAAAAAGATAAAACCATGGGAAAGTCACTGAATGGTAACTCCAGAATCACACATCCCTCCCTTATCCCCAGTGCAACAGAACAGAAGGTCTAGAAGGAATGGCAATTGTTTGTCCAAAACCAGACTGAAGCATCACATGTGAAAATATAATGTACCTTCTAAAAGAAAAATTGTGGAAGTGAGGAAGTGCCATAAAGATCTAAAATAAGAGATGAATGAACACTCCCTTACTTAAATGTTTTATCTTCTGCCAAAGAACAGCGTTTAATTAGTTTCCCAAAACTTAGCTTGCTTTATATTCAAATACTGCTTTATACTGCCTTATGTGTGCATTTGATCAGTCAGTCAGATGGGAGCTGGGAGCTGCTGCTGCTCGCAGAGAGGCAGCTTACCCCCCGCCACCCCCAGCCTCTTGCAAAGCCCTTGCTGGCCTTACTGCTCGTGCAGAGATCAGTCAGTGGCTGCACTGTGCTGTCCTCCAGAGGACACAGAAGTGGAGAGGCCAGGAACTAGCAAGGTACCTGGGCAACAAGATGACCCAGGCAGTATGCAAGTTGTGCTGGGCTCCTGGTTTGAAAAAAAGGAGCAGGTCAGTGTATGCCTGGGAAAGGAACCCAGAGAAAACTTCTGTTCAAAAATCAAGCTGTTGTTCCACTTAAAAATCCACAGTGTGATGGCAAATAGGTCAGGAAAAAAAGTGCTATCTTACAGATAGCAAGTTCCATCCTCTTCTACCAGCTATTTGCCCAAGCATTCATGAAAAACTTTCATAGATTAAGCTTGAAGCGCGTATGATTTCATTTCATTATAGGCAGACAATGTTCAACCCCTGCCTCTTAAGACATCTAAACAATAGCATTTTAAACCCATTTCAGTTGTGGAAAACTTTTAATAAGCTCACATAAACGAAGTCTGAGCTCTGCACTAATTCCTGCAAAATACGAGAAGTGACTGGGGCTGGGGGAAATTTAAAAAACAAAACAAAACAAAACAAATACCACAAACAAACAAATCTAAACAAAAAGCCTACCCCCCCTATTCTGTTAGAAGAAATGGTTAAAAAAAAAAGGTTCTAGTACTCCATGGCTACTATGAGAGTATCAAACTATGAGAGTTTGATAGGTGGCACAATACTTGGTAATTTACAAAATTATGAAACTGTCTTATGATGATGATCCTTAACATAACAGTATGTAATCACACAATTACCAAATAAATGAGGGAAGGAAGACCTCACTCCAAGCACTTTAGCATTCAGAGTGCTGAAGTAAAAATATCAGCAGTTTTTTAAGGCGATCCTTAGAATTTAGTAACATTTAATTTTATGAGTCCTCTTTAGTAAAGAGGATTGTGATATCAATAGAGGCAATGATGTACAAAAGATAAACCTATCTAGTTTTTTCAATGGAAAAAGACATGAGAAAAATGTAATTGTTTATATCATAGCAATTGCTATAATGGAAGAATTCAGATGCCTCCTGTTTTGTATGTCTCTTCCCAAAGTGTTTTTTGGGGCTGTATTGGTAATATCGTTTGTATGAAAATATAGTTGGAGCAAACATAGAAAAGAAGTGCTCAGAACTTGCTGTATCCTCTGCTATGAATCACACGCTGGCACTAAGTCTTTTATGACAGGCTTTGTATTTCCAGAAGAGCAAGGGTAACCATAACATCTGCATTCCTTCTAATGGGAAGAAGCTTGCAGACGTGTAAGGCAAGGCAAGCTGCCTGAGAAACAAAATCCAGTTTCATGAGATCCTTCAACATACTTCAATTTCCCTGGGCCTTGTCCATATCCTTTAGTCTCCAACTTCCTGTAAAAGTTCCTCAGCTTGGCTTCAAAATCTCTTTTGTAAGGAGCTGGAGCTCGGGCATTGGCACGCTGAGTACCTGCAGGAAGCAATAAGCAAAGAATGAGCTGTAGCGACATGAACTGATTAATGTCCCATCCTCTACTGAAAAGAATCCTTAATAGCAAAAGGCATGGTATGTGTTTGGTTTAGTCACCTTTATAAAGTGTAAAAGCTGTGTATCTTCAAATCTGCTCTGCATCCAAGACTTTTTGGTTGCTCATTTCCAATAGTATCATCTTTCTAAAGTAAGACTTCAAAGAGCAAATCCAGGTCCATGCAAGAGATGGATTAAAAACCCAGCACAATCAACTGGAAAGACTTAACTTTTTTTGGTTTTTTTTTTGTCAAGTACACTTGATGTCTAACCTTTAAAATAGCTCATGCAATATATGTTCTGCTCTGTTCTAGTTTTAATATTATCAGGAAAAACAAGAACTCAGAAATGAAGCATAAACAGACTATACTCTGCTGTGCCCCTGTTGAATAGATCAAGCTGAAGAAAGACTTTTGGAAATTCCCTAGTAGAAGTTTTTCCTTGGGGAAGTACAAGGAAGAAAAATATTGTAAGAATGGAAAGACTACCAAATTTAACTTTGTGGAACTTTTCGCATGTGACTGCAGGAACATACATAATGGTCATCTAAGTGAATTTATTTTTGAACAAGTGCTTTTCAGGGTCAACTTCTGAAGAGCAGGGATGCCCCAAAAAAATGTCATACCCCCACATCTGCGTGTACAAGTCTAGTATATACAAATTACATGTTTAGTCTGATCTATTCATAATATTACTACCATTAGAACTTCCACTGCCTCCTTGGATAAATTACTTCAATTTCATTTGAAGCAGTTACTCCTAGCCCTTTTATGTTCATCTTCTCACCCCTAGTTTTTATAACATTAAATTCCTCCCCTGCGTGGCTGTGTAGACATCCCATCCACAAAAAACTTGGAGGACATTTAAAATTTCTTGTGCCCTACAGTATACATAGCTGCCAACTACTTATCTGCAACTGGTGGTCATCTAACAGGCCCATAATGCACTGGAAACACAAATGAACAGTTTAGAAGCACGTATATGTAGACCTCTGTCTCAAGTGACAATCAGTTCCTCCTGTGAGTTTTCTTTTGTCTCCCTGTTGTGAAACTAAGCCAATACAGACACATTGATTGCTACTGTGGGCAAAGGCATGAGAACGTAACATTTCAGGTTATGAAAAAGAACGTGTATCTGTTCAGCCTGTGGGTAGAGACCAGAGGAAAAGAGAGCAGCTCGCTTAGCCACAAAGCATACAGGACTGACGCAAAGGCGGTGAGCACATCCCGCGGAAGTGGCTGCTGTAAGAAGCTGCAGAGTTGATCTCTCTGCAGACATCAGAGAGAGAACAAGTGAGATCAGTATTAATACTGAATGCCATTTACAGGTCTTTAAAAGACCTGTCTGACCAGAAAGACACTTGCCACTTGTTCTAGGCTTAGAAGTGATGTGTGGGAGGAATAGAAAGTGTCAGGGAATCCTCAGAGCTCCAACGGGAACATGTAGAACCCTTCTGGAAAAACAAATCATGGTCATCGATTAATCTGTACTGGTTATCCTCTTTTACTGAAACCACCAAGGGCTTCTAATGGTACACTCAGCTGAATTCTCTAGAAAACTTACAGAAACTTGAAACTATAAACAGCCTTTTAATTATTGGCCTTTCCCCCCTACTTTGTTTATTTCACTTTGGGTCAAAGTAGGTACAAAAATGTAGTCACTAAAAAAAAAACACAACAAAAGCATGCTTTAATCTTAACCCCTGAAGGAAGTTTTTGCTGAGAGATACTGCAGAGCATAAATCTGGTAACATATTACTTCACGGTTCAGAAACCAGCAATATATTATTCTGTCAGCACATGACAAGTCCTCATTGCAAATCAGATGCATATGCCAAGAAATTCCTGGGCAATTATAGTGATTACTTCCGCCTTGGGAACAAAAGATGTTAATGGAAGAGCTAAAAAATGCTAGTGATGTGATAATCATATTTGATTTTCAAAGAGGTTATATTCTAAAGCAGATATAAAGAGTAGCTTCATGACTATTCTTCTTCCCAAAAGAGAAAGTAAAACCGATTGTGACTGATCTGAACAATGGATCCTTAACACGCAACCTCATGCAGTGCAGCACAGCCAGTTTAGCTGACAAAAAAAACACAGAGCCTCCATAGAAACGATGGGCTATTTACAATTTCTTATCAAAAAAGTCATTTGTACACCAACACAAACATGCATACTCGCAGACTGACAGGGAGATTCAATGGTCTCTCTATATTTTTCTATGAAATAGAATAGAGATTACAATGTTCAGAACAGGACTAAAACTGTCACTGTTCATCCTTTACTGTGTGCTGCTACTTTGAGGAATAGATGAGAATATGACATGTTAAAGATTGAATGCATTTTGAAATTACTTTGTTGGAGTGAAGCCCTGCCCAGCATGCTTTGGTGCATGTACTAGTAATGAAATTCTAACTCTGAAAGCCAAAACTGTTTTTACTTATAAGAAACTGCCAAGTTTGCAGTTGGAAATAAGATGCATACATGCAGATTTCATTCTTCCTTTCTTTTCAAAGGGAAACGGTTATATCTAAACCATATATGTATTGAAAATATCAATACACATGGGTATTCTATTTTGCTGCTTTGCAGAATGCCCTAAGATCATTAAGGTCTTCAGACAGTTTCTTCAAATAGGTCCTCAGAGGCCCTATGTCCAGAAGCAGGAAAATCTATCACCCAGGACATGTTTATGAATGGTTTTAATCTGGTTTCTTGAAAAGGCAAAGCTTTTTATGATTGTGGACTGGGAAATGCCCATAAAAAACTCACAGTACTTTTTCTGATAAAATTTTCTTACTATCTGGAACTACCTCTAGTTGCTTACATCCCAAATGTTCTCTATTTATCTATACTTTTGTTCTCAAATTTGTAGAAATCCCCTTAAGCGCCTTCCAATTTACTGCAGTGATTTTATTTTACTTACCTATTATCTTCTTGAGAAAACTAAGAACAGAGGTCAAATGGAACTTGTAATATTTGAAATAATTTAGTTCTGATCTGCAACTTAGGTAATATGTGAAATATCAATTTCATTCCATTCTGACATGCCTATCTCCAGACAGCTGCAATATGCTATCTTTTCAACTCATGTTAAGGGACAACAATCTGGCTTTACATAAAATTGTCACTTATTGCTCCACAGACCCATTAACACTGGCATTTTAATGTACAGTTATTAGATCTCATATTTTTAGTTCTCTCGGCATCAGCATCCTGGCATGAGCAGTCACTTATTTCACATCACTGAAAAACAAGTTTGCATGTTTTACAAGTCAGAACAAAATCACAGCCTCTGAAGTTGTAATACACCAATCTTTTCTACTGGCAAAACATCTTGTGAGCCCAAGGCAAAGGTTCCAGTTTGACAGTCAAATGCAATCACACTTGTTGACTTTGCTCAAAAATAGGACTAAATCTGTTGTTGCTGGAGCAACAGAACTTGCATCTTCAGAAAGGTGGAAAGTCATTATATGCAGCATAATGCAAACTAAATTAGCTCTTACTGCAATATCTTACAGATACCATCATAATGGAAGTACTGCAGCGAGAAGCTCACTGACCACTCGGAAGGGGCTTCAGCTCATGTAACTTTACCCATCTAGAAGTTGGGAACCACAAATGGGAATAGGTTGTAGTTTCCAAATAGTAGGTTCTCAGCTTTAGGCTTTTGTTCTCTGACTTCCGGGAAGGCAGCTGGAGTGAGCTACTGACTTCACTGATCTGGAACTGGTCCTTACCAAGTATGAGAAATGGTTTCATACAGCCCCTGCAGAAGCTGTGCCTGAGCAACTTACCTGGAGAGTTCTGAGGCGAAGACACCGGCGAGCCTCTCGGGGACTGGCAATAACTAGGATGAAGTAAGGCATGTGGTGGCACATATGACATTATCTCCTCCTCAAACAAGCTGGTAAAAAGGAGCAAATAAAAAACAACATGTTTATTTGAATGAATGGCAATTTTCACTTTCTAAGAATAAATCTCTAGTTACCAACCTGCTTTCTTTGGTAGTTGCTTGCCTATTTCCACTATGCACACTTGAGAGTGCTACAGAATATTTTATTGCCATTCCCTCAATCAGATCTTAAAAGTACTGGAAAGCAGTATTTATTACTTTTGTGGGATATGATTATCCATAATCTGGTATTTGTTTTCAAAGTTAAAATATAGTTAATCAACCTTTAAAATTTGTCATCCCTCCGCCCCCCCCTTTTTTTTTAAACTTGTATTCTCATTACAAAGGGGTCAATAACCTTAGTCCGACTTTCCTGGAAAAAGATGTGCAATACTGCACAAAGACTAGGAACAGAGACAAACATTCTAAACCACCAGCATTAAGCTAGCATTGAGGACTGCATCTGAACTTGTTGAGTATATTGAACAGCAAGCTTGTTGGCATAACAAGTTATTTCGTTATTTTTTCTTTAATACTAACACTGTTCCTGAGACAGGTATCACATCTAGTCTGTTTAGGTTATTTCATGCCTCATCTACTATTGCTACATAACTTTTAAGACAAAAACAAATATTTTGCAGTCTAATCACTGTATCTGTGTACGGAGAGTCTGTATATATATTAAAAGTTCAGTCTGTTCCCAAAATTGACACAAGTAAATCCAAAGAGATGGAATATCTAATATCAGAATGGATCTGATATCAAAGTCTATGTTGGTTGTTAAACACAGTGCATAAGAATAAACTGTTGAGATCATACATAAAATTTATTTTGAAAAATTGAGCTACAGAAAGAATCACAAGCCAATCTTTTACTGTAGAGCTCAACCAATGAAAGCAATACTCAAATAAAAGATGTTTCTTACGAAGTTTTTTTCACCAAACAAGTATCTAGAAAAGTTTTTTGCATGAGGGTTTTTTTTTTGGAACCGGTATTTTCTGATACTTCTTTTTACATTCGTGATCATGCATTGTTTTCCTCCAAGGTATATTTTGATGCTGAAAATGTGATAAAATATAAACCACTACTTCAATCTTGGATTAAATTAAGAGTTAAGATGATGATTTATGTTGTATACCAAACAACATGTTTGGAGGAAGAAACTGAAAAATATTTTCTTAATACCTGAAGCATAATATAATGCCATCCTTAGAGTATTTTTAAAAAATGTGATGCACAGTACCTCCTTCAGTCCCTAAAGACATAGGGGTTTGTTTGTTGGTTTTTACTTAACTGCAACTTTATATTAACTGAAGCGTGTGAAAAAATTTACAGTGTTACCAAGCAATAAAAATATCAGAAATAGTGATTCCACCCAGTTATTGCTACATCTCAAGAGTGCTTTACAGGACAATTATATCATTCCCCCCCAGCTGAAGAAACAGAGGCATGGAAATGGGTATAGTCTTCCCCAAGGTCATCCAACCAGCCAAGCCACATACAGAACCCAGGTGTCCTGAGCCCCAGGAAGATTGAGTCATCATGATTACAGCGCAGTTCTTTCAGGGTTTCATAGACAAGGGTCATGATGACACCTTGCTAAAAGATACTATTAAAAGTAAAAATCCACCAAGATTAAATAATGGTAAGAAAATAAATATCATCATCTCAGTACAACACTACTTTAACTTAGCCCACCTTTGATTTTACACCAGTATTTACTCACAATAAGCTCACAATAACTCAGTCCAATTTTCAGGTATAACATCCAGCATTTTAAGAAACTAATGTATGCATAGATAACATTTTATCAATAATATGGCCTCAGGGCAATGTCACTACTAGGTTAATAAAATGGGGAGAAAATCCTCAAGCAACACTTTTCAGTTAGATGGGCGGGAGGGGGTGGCAAAAAAGTAGATTAAGAGAAATATCATCTGAATAATACGATAAACTTATTCTAGGGAGGCACTGAGTACTACTTTTCTCTTAATAGTTATACTCATTATTGCTTTTCTACAAAGGGAAGATTGCAAAAAAAATTTTGACTTTGCTTTATTTCCACTGTAAGAATTATTTGCAGTCTTTGTTGTTAACAGAACACTAGAGGGAATTAAGCCCAGTCAAAAAGCAATGATAAAATCATTCATGCAACCTTTATTTAAAAACAAATAGCTGAAGCCAGATTTTTCTGTGTAAAACCTGTGTCATCTTCATGTGTTATATATCAAGCAGAAAAAAGTTTTTCAAGAAACAAAATTCTCATTTTAAAAAGGCTTCAGTGTGGCTTTAAAATGAGGGGGTTTTTTATAGCTGTAATTAATTCAGAGATTTAGGGACCAGAAAGGATTATCCTTATGCAACCTGACCTCAAAATACTACTGCTACTACTAATGCCAATCCTATTTCACTAGATTCAATTTCAAATGTACTCGTGAACTTCTTGATGCACTTTTACAATGGATGAGAATATGACTTGAAGTTACAAGGGTTTAATTCTAGCAAAAAAATTTGCCTGGTTTTTTAAATTAATTGCTTAAATGAACGATATTAAAGAAGCAGCTTCCCATTTCTTGAACTCTGTAACAGTACGTCCTTTATTAACGAGGACAATGCTTGACAGCATAGTGAAGCAGCAGTAAGACATTAAGTAATAAAAACACATCTCAAGTATGAATGTTCATAAATACAGACTTCCCAAACTACAGAACTAAACAGATGCATTCTTGAAGCAGTACAAGGCACATTCCTACAAAGAGGTCTAAACTGTACCACCTATCTAAATGTCAGGGCTGGATGCAATAGGAAAACAAAAGGTGGTCTAGGCAAGCCCATATAAATCACAAGCACAGTGCTCTTGCACTCGCCTTTCCTCAGGCAGAATATTGCATTCCATTACTCCTATGAACAAATGTGACCTCCAACTACCAGCTAGAAACCGAACATGATGAAAATAAAAAAGCTGGCCCTTGAGTTGTAGCTCTCCCAGCTGCAAGTCCAAGTACTGAAGGGGAAATGATTAGGTCACTAAACCAGCACACACTACTCACTGAAAGGCTCTGCAGTAGCTGCCACAGCATATTCTATACGTGCATCGAAAGCAGCAGTGCCTACCTGAGTAACATGACAAGGTCTGCATCACTGGATAAACGCACCAACCCAGGTGTTCCCTCTGTCCGGATGAACTGGATCTTCTCCCTGTGTAAGCAAAAAAAGACTTCCAAAATATCTTTTGCAAATAAGGCACCAATGTACACCACAGCAACAAGAAAAAGTACAGGGTATATCATAAAAACCTCCAGGTTATGCTTCTGTATTTCAGAAACCATTTTTTTCCCTGCCACACCATGCCCATGTAAGCAGCAAAATATTACAACCAAAAAGCTAATCTGTTCTAAGGAATGATTCTCCTGTTGCCCTCATCTCTTCAATGCTCAGGCTGCTTCAGGTAGTACAGCCATCCAATCAGTAAAAAAAGAAAAAAAAAAGTAATAAAAAAAAAATCAATCCTTCAAGTTCATGCTAGCTGTGTCCCTGAATTCAAAGTAGGAGGCTGAGCCCTGCAGGAGGACATTACTATTCTGAAAGTGAACTGTTTAAAGAGGTACGGTCTTTTTTTGAACCTTTGTACAAATGCGAGCCATACATTACAATGCATACTTGTGATTTTAAAAGTGAGGTTTTTGTAACACACTGCATTTAAGAGATCTTCCTGAAAAACCCTTGTACTATTTCTCCCTTCCTGTCTCAGTCAAGCACACACCCCTCCTCCCAGACCCAGTTTGGTCACTATCGTGGAATTTGTGCATCCAGAACTCTAAGCAGAGTAACGCACAGATTTTTAGGATCTATGTTGAATATAATTCTTTGGCTGATTCCTGTTCTTTTTCTCTGTAGAGTTTTTCCCTGCATTGTAAAACAAAAGTCCATCCCTTTTATTTTGTCTCTATCAGTACAAGGTATATGATGGTACAGCAAAGAGAAATTCTAATTTGGCTTTACTCTTCAGAAGAAAACAAAAACCAAACCTGTGTAGTAAAAACTGTCCCAATTCCAAAGGAGAACACCCCCGAAGAAATAGAAAGAACTCCACATAAGAGCAGCATTGGCTCAGCTCAGAGGTCCATCTACCCCACTGTCCTGTTACCAACAGTGACAAAAAGGTCAAAAATGATCCATGCAATTGGCACCGTAACAAGGCTGCTGGCAGCTGCACACAGTTTAAACTGCAAGATGAATTTCTGGAACATATAATTTCATGCGCAGCAGTTTCAGCAAAGGGATCAAACCAAATTTCTTGCCATCTGTCTCTAAAATCATGGTGCATAAAGACCTTCTCAAACAGTAGACCTAGCATACGTTCCCAAACATTTAGAGCATATTCAAGGGCAAAAAAGGGGCACAGCTCTGTGCCCAGAGCCCCCCAGTCCCTGCTGTCAGGGTGGCAGGAGTGCGTAATTCAGCGTTTCTCCGAAAGTCAAGCCCCCACTTTGTCAACACTGTGGCTGCAGCCAGTCACAACTAGAGTTCAGCCTGGAAGCCCCCAAGTTCCCCTAGCACAGCACTGAGCAAGCCAAGATGTGCTGCCCACCTGCAAGCATGGCCCTAGAGTGCCCAGGGCAGGGACGTCTGGACACTTCCAGACCCTACTCCAATTTACATCAGTGCCCAAATGTCAAGGTTTGAGCAAAGAGATGGTGGATTACAAAATATATCTTTGCATTTAGTTGGCATCAACACCAGAAAGTAGAAGGACATCTTCTGGGTTAACTGACACATGCAGCTCTCCAAACGAATGCAATCCATGACTTCTCGGGGTTACCAGTGAGAGTTGTGATTTCAATTTGTGTTTTAAATATATGCCTTTTACCTTCTGTTAAGATATAAATTATGTTTCAAGTGTAATAGACGCCTTTGCATGAAGCCTTTTACATTATTTAACAGCCTCTCAGTTTTACCTGTGGTGGTTTGCAATGAGATTTGATCCTGGCTACGTGCTTAATAATAGTATGATAAGTACAATGTTCTCACTGCACCATAAGACCTCTGAACAGCAGTTTCCTACCTGTAGTATACTTTGTGTATTTTAATAGACCCTCAACTTCTTATCACATCTCTTCATTCTTTTTAGGAATGAGAAATTTTTTTAGACAGAAAAATGCAAGAGATCTTTTCAAATTATCTCTGTCCTCTTCCACTGGCCAAATCGTGATTTTCCACCTCACCTATGTAATAATTATAATAGTAATAATAATATTTAATATCATCATCATTCTACCTCAGTTGCACCAGGTCCTTAAAGAAATAGATTACAGACAGTTGTACTGATCACTACACTAAAAAAAAAAAAAAGAAGTAAGACACAAAGAATTCATAGTGTAGGATTTCACTTAGGTCTTAATTCATCAAGCGTTACAGCAACGTCACTGGCGTGGCTTAGTCTCACAATGTGTCAAATAGACATGGATTCCAATAACTTGCTAAATCAGGGCCTTAAAAGACTAACTAGGAAAAATGAAACTGGGATCTCTATTAAAATATAAGAAACATTACCAAAGCATCAGCTCTAGAAGAAAATAGGAGAGGTATAATGGAAGATACTTTACCTTAATCAAATGTACTAACTTCAAAGACTAAGACTAGACTGGAACCATTTGGTTTAACAGAATGGCTTCTCTGACCAATCCTACTTAATGTTAAATGAAACAATGTTCATTAAAATCCTCAATCATTCTGCTAAAGCGTGTAAGTTAGACATAGATCTTCAGTCTATTTACGAAGTAAGCATACAGAAGGATATACAGTCTCAAGTAAATGAGGAGTTACAGAAATCATATCTTTTATCCTTTGATCTTCCATTTTCAATCTGAAAACCATTTTTTCTTGAGAAGGGCTCAGTCTGTGGCAAATTATGATTTTGTAATCAGGAAGCAAGGTTCTACAAGCAGCAGAATCTGATAATACCAAGAAGTCTGAGCAGTCTGAACTCTAAATTATCAAAATACCACATAACACATGAAGAAAATGACACTCTGATTGCTATCAGACTGAAGAAAGCCAAGCACCCAGGGGAAAGGAAAAAGGAATAATAGAACTACTAATAATCAGAAATTGCATGTATACTATTTCCCAATAGATTAGTTTGCTCACATTTCAAATGAAGGCTACAGGTAGGACAAACTTGTCTGTAGTGTTACGGGTGCAACATAGGAACTGTTTTGCTAGGCTGAGAACTGTAGATTTTTATTGTCCTCCTTTTCTTTGTATTTTCTAGAGAACATGTATTCTGCTAGTACATCGTTTGAGGTTTGTCAGCTAAGATTTACTTAGAGGGTAAATCAAGTCTTTAACATAGAAGCCTCATCACAAAACTTGTTAGAACATGATGCTTTGGGGAAAATGCAAAACAGGGCAGCTTGTTGAGTTCTGGGAACTTTCAGAACATAGAGGAAAAGGGATCAATAAGTAACACTATGAGAATGGAAAAAAAATGAAAATCAGTGCTGGCTGCTGTGCCAGCCAAAGTGAATAGCCATCTGGAACACAGAGCGCTGCATTGGCAGCTCTCTGCATAGGATAGACCACAACCACAAAACCAGCATTTAAATTTAGTGTCCAAGGAGGAATAGTCGTTTGAGCCCTAGTCACTAATATCCAAGTTATTGGTTATTGCATCTTTTACACCCGAGTACGTGAACTAAAGTGTCTTTGTACAGCATATGCTTTAAGAGGGATCTTGCCACCTTCTGAATTTCACTTTTTATCATTCCTAGTCTAACCACACAAGGCAGTTATAACAACCATATAACAATCAAAGATCATCCTTCATCATATCTTTTTGCACTATGCAAAAAACCTATAGATACCCATTTTTTATATTTTGGAGAAACACTAATTGATACAAGATTACCTTCTAGGCCATTAGGTCAGGACAGCCTTTTTGTAAGTGCGCATGGAGAAGGTAAGGACAAAGCGAAATGCCATTCTGCCTCACAGTCCCAGCTGTACACATACTCAAATGAATGGGCACATTTGCCGTGCCATCCAGCTGTCCTGGCACATTTTGAAGACATCAGCAAATCTCTTATGGCAGTTGTTCCAAACATTTTATTGTAGGTACCTTTATTTCATAACAACACATTACCTCTGTTTTCGTAAATCTTATTTCAGGGAGTTACATAGAAATACAATAAAGAACTATTTCCCACCACTTTATGAATATATTTGAATAGGCCAAAAATCTACCATCTGCTATGTTCCACTGCTAATTTTAATGAAAGAAACTAATTCTAATTGGCATTTTGTATTGAAACGAGAATAGCAGACTTCACTAATTTTATTACCTGAGTGAATGATTTCTGGTAAGATCTGGTTGACGCTCTTGTAGAATTTCAAAGATATTGGGTTGGCGCAAAAATGCAACAATCTTGTCATTGTAAGCTGAAAACATCAACAAAAATACCATTCTGAAACAAGGAGATACTAAAAGACAGGACTGCATTCCTTCTGAGTTTTGAACAATAGTGACAGCAGACTTCATCTTCACAGTTTTAAGTTTGGCAGTATAGTGTTAATACTTTTTCACGTAAGGCTACAGATTCCACTATCATTTAGGGAACACACTTTTTGATTATGAACCAAATCCGATTGTGACACATCCTTCCCACTGTTAACAGTTCTGATTTTGTTAGCAATTTCTATTACATTTTATCACTCACACTCTTAGCTAAGGTTGAACTAGAATATCCATTGCTAGAACAAAATTGCAGGGACCTGGTTTTCACTGCACTGAAATCAATTCTCAAATATTAAACAGTCATTGGGAACACTCATATCAAATCCTTACTAACTGACTAACTGCTGAGCCTGCAGTGTATGCACACCATGTCCATGGCAAGGGGAAGGATTTAAACGAGCAGAGATTTTCAAGTAAACATGCCAAAATACAAAGAGCCAGTTATAGTCAATCGGATTAATTTATCTTGATTTAGCACAATGTGACAGCTGTTAGATTCAATAAGCTAAATTCTGTTCTTGGTGGCACAGAAGTCAGTAACTTTGTGTGTATGTAACTGAGAACAGAAGTTAAGCTAATGACTAATTCCAAGCTGATTAACACTTTCTGGAATCCTGCCAAAATAGATGCTCAGAAATTGTACAAAAATCACTGGGAATACATGGAGTCCAATTAGGGGACAACTTGGCTCACTAGCTTCAGCTCTTCCTGTCACCACGTAGAGTAAGTGAGCAAGGAAGGTAGGAGTTTTACATCGGTTATTTGGTTCTGCATATACACTTTTCAATATTATTCCTGCAGGTTGCAACTGAACAATTGGGAAATGCTGATGGACAGAAGTAATCATAGACTCACAGCATGGTTTGGGTTGGAAGGGACCTCAAAGATCATCTAGTTCCAACCCCCTTGTCATGGGCAGGGACACTCTCCACCAGACCAGGTTGCCCAAAACCCCATCCAACCTGGCCTTGAACACTTCCAGGGAGGGGGCCTCCACAACCTCTCTGGGCAACCTGTTCCAGTGCCTCACCACCCTCACAGGGAAGAATTTCTTCCTAATTATCTAATCTAAATCTACCCTCCTTCAGTTTAAAGCCATGACCCCTTGTCCTATCACTCCATGCCCTTGTAAAGAGTCTCTCTCCAGCTTTCATAACTAATCATAACCAATGGTAACTTCCACCCACCCCAGCCAAATGAAGAACCCAGCAGTGCACACTGACATGACACACTTGACTCTGAAAAGAGGCCGTATGCTCACATACCCACTGGAACCACATCCTGGTACTGAGCTCTGCTGACTGTATTAAATGTGCTAGATGGTCTCGGCAAAACTGGTGGTCCTGAATGACGGGAGTCCTCTCCGACCTGAAAAATGTGCAAGTAGCCGCAATGAGCATCTCTACACCAGCATATCTACTCAGGTACATAAAAGTGAGAACTCATACGGCTTAAAACTAAGTATGTACATAAATGTTTGCTTATCACTATCCCCAGTAACCACTGCAGCAGGAAACAGCTGTGTTGTATGATTGTTATTAGTAAAACAATATTTAGTATACTGTACCTATTAATATGAAGAATCAGAACTGATTTAAAGTTTATTGCTATTTTTAAATAATAGTCCCATTCTGAAAAGGGACTAAAAATTTCAAACTGGGATTCATTCAGAGGGTCTTTTGTACTTCATGGACACATTTACCCATATCAAAGGTTCTGAAAATCAAATTCTACTCCTTCATTAACCCCTCTATTACCTCTATGCATGAGTGGAGTTTCCCTAAATCTGAACTGGAAAGTTTGTGGCTGAAGCAGGAGGATAAAGAAGCGAGTTCACATTCAGGCAAGGCAAATGAGTCCAAACTGGTAAAAATATGTTTCCTACAATCATTCAGTAAAACTGTTCTGATTTTCTTTTCTTTGTATTCACCTTCTGGGATTAAAAGGTGTGGCATATGAACATTTATTAGTGTAAAAGCACAATATAAAATTGTTCCTGGTAGTATTTGTGATGTCAGGGCAACTTCTGCAGTCTTCCATGTCCTGATGCTTCAGTCATTTCTACAGTGTCAGTATTTTGTACTTTATCTATATAGAACATTTTGTTCAACCTCTTTTTCATCCTGCTGGACCTCTATGTTTACTTCACGGTTCCTCAGTAAGGGTTAGCATTTGAACTAGACTTCCAAGCTTCAAAGATCTCTAAAACATCTAATTGCAAAAGATCAAATAAAGGTGTTTTTTAAATCCAATCTCTGAAATCACAAAGAAGCAAAAGTCCTGAGATCTCTCCCAAGATCTTTTTGCTCTCTGATAATACTTTCTCAGAAAAATGAAAAATTATTTCCTGTAGGCACTGTGCTGGAAAAGGAATGCCATTATTATTGCCTCCAGCTTCACGCTGCAGTTCAGCTTTAGCTAAAAAGGCATTCCTTACACTGGTTAATGTTTGCTTTAGAGCATCTCCCTGTAAAAACTGGGTCAGTGTCTTCAAAACATCAAAGTTCATGGCAAGGCAAATCCAAAGAAAGTATTTTGAGAATTTTTTTTCATTAAGTATTCGTCTTTTGCAATAATGAACAGTTCCTTGATGCAATGGTTTAAAAATAGGAAGAACAACTGCAAATATGCAATACTTAAGTCACAAGTGCAGAAGAAGGAGTGGTGTTTAGATCCATACATATGCATATAAATGAACATCATTAATCCCAGAATGGTAATGCTGTATTGAATTGCTGTGTTTAAGATTCCTATCTGGAATTACAGTTCTATTCAATTCAAGTTATAATTGTAGCAATATCAAGGAAATGTTTCTAAAATGATATGTAGAAATACAGTTTAAAGAATTTCATGTATCTAGATGGAGTGGGAAATTTTGTCAGGTAATCAGCGCTGTGTATATGCAACATATATGATGACTTCCTGTAGAAGTCACTTATTTTGCAGTATTGACAGCTTCAGCAGCACGGTTGACATGAATTTCTCTGTTTTAAGTGCAGAGCTTTTGCATGCTGCTTAAAGAAAGATAATTTCAGTGCATATTTGGTAAAGTTAAGAAAAAAAAAAAATGTTTCTGCTCTGTTATAAATCAATCACAACAGAAATACTTGCTTTACCCTATCAAAGACCTAAATAGCTATATGAAGACACTTCTAGCTTCCTTGTCAGCTGTAAGACATCATTGCCTACATCACATTACCAAATTGCTGAAAAATACTATTTAAAGCCATTAGTAAAATATACCTTACAGTGGGGGGTCGGGAGTGGAAAGTATTGTGGGTGACTAAACCATGTTCACACAGGATATGATAAGAAATGCAACCAGTGGTACGGCACTCATACCACAGCGGAAGCCCTGTTAGAGAAGTGGCAGGGAAGATTCATGACTGCTCTGAAACAGACCTCTAGCAGAACTTCATCTGCCACAAAACTGAGCTATAAAAAGGATAAATCAGAGCATTTCTCTTGCCATTCTAAATTGTATTATCTTTAATTCCTGGCATGGAATAGCCCTCTGAAAAGACAACTCACAGCCAACAGGTATGGCGGTTAAATAAAGAGCAACTGAAGTCTAAGTTATTATACACACACTTGCTCAGAAATAAAAAGAAGTTACAACAACAATATGGAGACTGCTGGTGAAGATATACAGTGACGTATCAACAAAATAGTGTTTTCCATGTATTTCTGTTTAGAAAGTAAAGATGAAATACATTCGCAAATGCATATGACAGTCTGAAAGCCCATATGTTGTAAGATTTTTTTTATACTTATTTGGAAAGTTGCACATCTAGATGTATATACACACATGCATTTTCCCCCCCTTCTTATTTGCAGAGTTATATCAACATACTTGGAAGACACCATTGCTAGACAATAATACATATTTTGAGAGTGAAAGACTGGATACAGATGCTAGTAAGCTGTAATCAGATGCTCTCCTGTGGTTAAATGTGGTTACTGCGAATTAAAAGTAAAGAGAAACTCATGTCTGATATTTTTCCTCTGAAATCACACAATTCAAAAGCAACAATGGCTAGCAAATAAAATAATAAATATTTACAGATGAGTACTGTATGCTTACAGAAGAATCATGCTCCTCACAACATAGAATTATGAGCAGAACGATATGAAAGAGGATGATCCTAAAAACCTGATGGTTCTCGAAGAGAAGGGGCAGGTCCAACTTACCTCACCAGCGCTGTGGCTGCGTTGTCTAGTTAAGTGCTGCCGATGGACTAACGCACTAGTGGGCCTGCTACTCTGCAAGGGAAGCCGGGGGTCAATGAACGTGGTAGTGCGGGAATTGTGGTCAACAAAGAAAGCCTAGAGAAGAAGAAAGAAGAAAGAATTTATAGCCAGTACTTTTTTTTATTATTATTAATAATATGTCCGAGGTTAATGTCTATTCAGGATCTAAGTTTCATTCGCTGATGTGAGGCTTTGAACAAATCTTCCTCACATTATTGTGGCTTGCATTTCCTTTCAGCAGAAGAGGGATAACAGTTTTCCATCTCACTGGAGGGATGAATTCTTTAATGCCTTACTTCATTCATGTCTATAAAGCCCTTTGAAATTCTCATCTGACAAGCATCAGAAGTAGGAAGCCTTGTTATGATTGTCAAGAAGAGAAGACTTAAATGTTTAATAAAAGCAATCCTGGTGTATTCTTCCTTTCATTTCCTTATAATCATCTAAAAAGACGTCATTAAGTGGCAAAACCATTCCCTTTTGTGAACCATTTACCATATACCATATAATTATTAACACAATTGGGTGCATATATGTCAAGTGCATGATTGCATCCTGTGATGAACTATGATTACAGGCCAGCAGGCATTTTTGTGATCCCCTGATACAACTATTCTAAGTTCGCTTACCTTTAAAAAAAAAAAAAAAAAAAAGAGAGAGAGAAAAAGGAAAGGTCAGTCAGGGACACAAAGATGATGGCAGCAACAACATTTAAACCAGGCAACTGGTGAGAACTACCACATATTGGCCAGTCAGCCATTTGCTGAAAACAAGGTCACAGGAGCACGTATCTTGCAAAATGAAAACCTCCTACAATTCTACCCAATTTGAACCCAAAAGGTTTCTAAGCACTGAAATTTAAACTTTTTCTAAGCCCAGAAATTGAAACTTTTTCCAGTGTTAGTGTTGCACTTGGAAACCAGCAGTGTTCTATTTCAACACACTTTGTTTTTTTCAGTCACAGTGCTAGAAACATGTGGAAGTGGCAAAAAAAGATGCCAGTTTTGAGCAGGAGAGTTACAGCAAAGTGACATCTGTTTTGAGGAATTGAAGAATCTGGACCAGCAGAGAGGTGGTCAGGGACTGTGGGAGCCATTTATGTATTTGGATACCAGTGAGGTACTTTGATTCTTTTGCTGACACCGCAGGACTGAATTGTTTATGAAACTGTGGTCATTCTCATCTTCCCCCATCCTGACCACTTGTTTCATCCCTTGCGCACCCTTCCTGCCTTGTGCAGGCACAAGTGTTTGCGTAGCCACGCAGTGAACCCAGCTGGGGAGCTGGTCCAGGCTAAAATTGCTCTCTTTTTGTCCCTCTCCCTGCTGGTTCCTCTAACCTTAGTCAGCCCACCAGCGATGAGAGGAGGGCACAACTGGCTCTTTTGGCAGCGATGCCAGCTTATAGTTATTCATGAAAACCTTGTTTCAGACTGCTTGGTATAGCCAGACCAGAGAAAATGCAATTCTTCTGACTGCTACAAAGGTAGGTAGACAAACCAGTGTGCTGTGCTATACAGTATCTAAATACCGTTATGGATTGTGGTGGGAGAAAATGTTCGTACTTCCATTTCCCAAGGAAGGAGAAGTCTATGGAGGGACACCAAAGTTGCAAAATCTTAGAAACACTCCAGAAGAGGGCAGCAAGCCTCCTGCAGCCCTAATAGCGATCGCTTGCACCTGTAACCTGCGCCTAACAAGCAAGGACTCACATTACCTGAACAATAAGGAAGAACTCTGTTTTGATCATCTGACATAGTTACAGATATGCAGGTGAAGCTGACTGTTCCACAGTTCAAAAACTATAAAGCATACTCAATAAATGCAATTTTAATTGCAACATTTGAGCCTGATGCAGGACTTGTTCACCTCGACAAATTGTGATGTCACCTGCAGTGCAAGTATACAGATTAGAGAATATGAGACCAGTGGGAAAGCCGAATGAAAGCCATTCTGAAATTTCAGGTTTGGACTTGGAAAATGACTGGAAGAGGCTGCTGGAACATATCCAGGCTTTCTGAAAATTTTGCTCCTGATTCATAGGTTTATTTCACTTATTAGCAAGTGGTTGGTATAGGATTTTTTTAAATGTCCCTGTGTCTACTATTTTATCTAGTCTGGTCTATGTGTACTTATAAGATGTGAAGCACTTTCATCAAAACAAAGGTTGAGTTAATTAAGTCAAAATTATAATGTAAAATCACTTAGAAAAAAAAGGTACCGATTCAATATAGGAGAAAGTACTACCTAGAGTTGCACTACACAGTTCTTTGAGTTAATGCAGCAATCTAATATTGCATGTAGTGTTCTTTAGCATTACATTTAAATAAATAACTCAGTTTAAACATGAAGTTAAAGACAATCACATCTTATTAAATATGAATACTTGAAGGCTAGCTAGTAGCAGCCTGCTTTAAAATAAAGCAAAAAGTACTACTTTGAAGCTTCAGTGAAGATAATCACTGGAGCTTCAAGGCTATGGGCTAATGTGGACATTGGCACGCACGTCAAAATACAGTGTGGCTTTCAGTCTCCTTTCAAAAAAATTCCTCTCATAACTCCTGTCTAGCTATAATCCATAAATCTATGATGCTTGAAGAGACTTACGTAGGATGGGTAGTGCCAAAACTACATTTAGCCCATTAAACATGGATAGTTGCCCAAGTTATCTTTCCAATTAAAGTCAATGAAGCTTGCTAAAATACCTTTTCTTCCTATTGAAGACATTAGTAACCAATTGCAATGGATTCTTTCATTGTAGAAAGGAAAAACAAAAAATACATGTCCTACAATGACTTACTATGTACGTGCACATCTTGCAGAGATCTAATTATAAAGTATATACATTTGCATTTGGCTTTAAAATATGAACGTGTGCTTACACATATTGCACAAATGCACTGGGGTGCTTATCTGTATATACATGCGTGTATGCACATGTTTGCAGCAACACAGAATTTCAAAGTTACCAGACTGAGTTCAGCTCAGGGACCTATCTATCTCACCTATATGATGCTTCCTGCTACCCCCTTTTCCAACGGTCTTCTGCCTCCCTGTGGTCAGAGACTGACCAAGGTTCATCTGTAATGCCAATCGGAAACTGCATACCAGTTATGCCAGACCTCTTAGGGAGAACTGCAGGCCAAACAGATTTTATCTTCTGTAAGGGATACATGGAGGAGTCAAAGAGGAGTGGGCAACTGGGCTTTACTGTGCAGCTTGGAAGAGAGTTCAGAGGTAGGCAGTTCCCAGCTGACCTTGGAAGACAGCCTGCAAAGAGGACAAGCAACCAGGACCACACTGGCACTGGGGGAGTAAAAAGTCTACTACTCAGCACTGTATAAGGGTCAGAAGGATCACTGTGCCTTGTGAGCAAGAGCACCAAGCCTCTTACTTGGAAAAAGAAAGGAAAACCTCATCTTAGCAGGAAAGACTAGCCAAGGAGAGGAAATATAATTATATATTGTGGCATGGCTAATTTCTACTTGCTTCTCTTTGACTTTATGCTTTAATAAAGGCAGGTCCGGTTTCAGTTTGGTGTCATCAAGCACTGGTATCACCACGTACTGGACATCATCTCGCTTGAGTGCTGAATAGGCTTTTCTACTGGCCACAAGTGCTACTTGTGACAAAGGCAATTCAACGTAATGAAAATGAACAATACTGAGCCTAATTCAAAGTGAAGAAATCCCAGTGGGAATTTATTCAGTGCTTCCTCTTGTTGATTAATGTTGTGGTAGCATCACTGTTACCAAATACCACACCAGAAATCCAAAGGTCTAATTCTCTCTATGGAGTGCCTATTAAAGTCAATTGAAAATTGCTCTATTCTTCAGAAGACTGGCCTCTGAAGAACTGAACAGAAAAATAATGACTTAAAACTGAAAAGAGGGAGACAAAGAACAAGGTTAGCATAACTGCACATTCCTAATTGTGTTTCTAATGAAAAACACAGTGCTTTCCAGAGCTAATAAATCCAAGAAATGAACAACCCTCAAGCACTTTTTCTACCCTTCAGTTTAGAATCTGCGTGTAATCTTTTCAAGGATCAAGATCATTATTTATATGGACACTCACAGCTAACTGTACCAAGACTGATAAACGTAAAAAGTGAGAAGCTTAGTATGCCTACAGTCCTAATTAGGACTTCTCACATGAACTGATAGCCTTATCACTTCCTCATGTGCTAATCACAGTCTATTTTTAACCCTCCTATCTTCTGCAAAGAAAATAATATTCTAGGCAGTGAGGATGCATTAAAATTACATTACTACTATAAAAATATCTGTTCTTTGATTTTAAAGTATTTTGTTAGAAATCGAAACGTGATACCTGTTTTGAAAAGCAGGAAGACTTGCAACTATTCAAGACCCCTATTAATGAAACTTACTGTACACAATTTCTTTCCTGTGAACCAACACATAACCACTAGAGTGATCATCCCCAGAGCTATCCCAGTCTTAAGTGCATCCATTTTATCTCAGAAATGGATGAACACTGGACCTACTTAGCATTTAGGTAGAGGTCTCGCCTAGAAAAATGGTTAGCTATTAGAGGAAAAAAAAGTGCAAATAATGAACACTAATGAACTAATGAATTCCACTCAAGACTTTGAGGTTGAAGAAGGGGGGGTGGGGGAAGTCCTAAGGAAAAACTTGACAGTTAAACAAGAAAAAGGCTAATAGAAATGATTCAACAATAACTAAATAAAATTCAGTAGATAGCAAAGTAACTTTATATCTAAATTATTTTATGAGCATACAGGCAAAACTCCGAAGATCTTCATTGACCTGCCTATATTTACACAGTAGATAATTCTTTTCAAAAGAAGTTTTAAACATCCAAGGGAATCTAATCAACTTATTTCACTGTAAAAAAGGCTACAGATTTCCTAGCAATTTTCCTTGTAATGATTAATACCCGCTTATCAGTCTCCTCCTTTCATATAATGCTTTGATAGCACAGATGAGAAATTCCAATCTTCTTTTGGCAAAAGCAGGATAAAAGGACGTGCGCCTTTTACATCTGGAGAACTACTTGCACTTACGCTCTTGTTAAGAGCAATCAACTGAGTCCTGACATCGCAACATCCAAGATCAAGCACTCAGAGACACATGTGCATCACAGTTACCTTGCCCTGATGGTCATGCTTCATTTCCCAACCTCTTGGCAGCTCCAGCTGTTTGTTAGCAAACATGTTGAGGAAGCCCACCAAATCCCGATTATGCTGGTAGCGCTCAAAATGGTGGGTGTCCCGCCGGACTTTGGTGATCATGTGCTTCAAACACGTGTTATTTGTAAACATGCGGTAGGCACTCTGAAAAATAAACAACAAAAGGAAATATTTTCAAAAGATAAAATTCATTCTTACTACAAAAGACATTTCCACTGTAAATAAATCATCTAATCATCTATAAAACCTTTAAAATAATCTCAATTAAGCTACAACAGTATGAAAAAAAATGGTCCTCTTTCTGCATTTTGGGAGAAGTGTGTGATGTTTCTTATTTTGCTTAAGATATACAAAATTTTGTAATTGACTGGCTTCAGCAAAGCATGAAATATATTACAGGTTCCATTTACTATACTTGTCCCTGGAACTGTGAAGAATCCTATAACATTAAAATTGATTTAAAAGTAGAGATTTTGATAGATAATCTCTAATTTCTGGAATAGTGAGGCAAATGCAGCCATAGAATACAGCAATAAAGCTCATAAGGTTTCCTGCAGGACAGAGATACATAAGCTTGTAGAACTTATCACAAATCTACATAAATATTGTTTCCAACTATTGATTTTTCAAAAATATCCTATCATTGCATGTCAATGTGTAATTTATGTAATAAAAATAAAATAAGAGAGTAAAAAGGAAAGCACTGAGGAATAGGAAAACTTTAAATAAAAGGGGAAAATAAACAGTTAACATTCTTCCCTCCAAATAAACCCAGCCAACCAGAAATCAGGTCTTTCTCTTGGGGTTAGCAATAGACAGAAGTCAAGGCATAGGCCCTCCTATTGCACTGTGCTACTACCTAAATCACTCTGGACCCCTTTACCTTACCTCTGGCCTGTTTCATATATTCAAGATAAAACTACACAAGCTAAGCAGAATTATTCAGACAAGCATACATGTATATTAAAACCAAACTAACATTGACTAGTAATTTTAAAAACACTGGATTATTAACAAGTGTGCTTGCAGACAACAAATTATTCATTCCATTACTTCTGTTTACACTATACATCCTGTTACACAAAGGAAAATAAGCATTGAACAAAAAACTGCATAAGCAGCACTGAAGAAGAGGCAAAAGAGAAAAGGAAAATATATATTAAGATGCTTTTTTGTTCAGTGTGACTTCTAATATATTTTGATATAAACCAGTCAATCTGGGGGAAACAAATCATCCCATAAGCAGCAAAGTTATCTTCCAAAATAAGCATCGTGTTCATTCTCAGAATTGTCTCTCACCCTCTGCAAAGCACAGTAAGAAAGCTATTGCTTCAATAACCAAATGAGTTTAACATAAGAAAGATGAAGAACTGAGTGAAAAATAAAAACTGTAGAAGCTATAATACCAACTAGGATGACTCTGAAAGCCCACCAGTTGCAAGGAATCATGATGAATGTTTGAATTTATCCAGCCTCCCTACGTATAACTAATATCTTAGCATCTAACACTGAGCAATACCTTTGTACACAACACAACTATATTTATAAGCAGATATTTATGAAAGTCTTTCAGCTGTAGATGCTATACTCACAGGGTTAGAATGCAGCACTGTAAAGAACTCTGGGCTGATAAGGAATTTCACAGGGGGAGACTGGAGCAATAAAGTAAGTCTGGATCTGGAGGTAGAGTGAGGCAGCACATTCTCTCTTCGAAAATCTAACAGCAAAGTGAATGACAAAGACTTACAATAATAATCATTACCAAAACATCACTGCAAACAAGTATATCGATTTGAATCACACAAGCAAGAAAAGCACTAGGTATACAATTATTTCAGTTTTATAAAATATTCTTCACGTAAGTGTACCTAAATTTCTTCTAACATAGCACTAAAGTTCCTGAAAACATCACAATTTCAGGTTAGTAACTTTTACTTGTTGCTTTTGGTAAACAATCAGTAAAAAAGTCCAATTATTTGGGTTACCAAGCATGTGCCTGTATATAAGAAGCAAGAAGGTTGCCTACATTGCTATACTGTAGCTGTATGCAGATAAATTATTTTTTAAATGCTAACTGATGGATATAAAAGTCATTGTACACTTAAAAAAACCCACAATAAATCACTGCCGTTAACACAGCCCTGATCCTGATACAGTATTTAAGCAGCTTACATAAGTAAGAAACAGGTTGCAAAGGAAGTACCTTCCAAGTTTCAACTTCCAATAAACATTTGGGTCTTCTCCTAGCAACTGTAGGAGTGCACTGATTTTTCAACAGTACCAGGAACTGAAAATATACTATGAGTGGTATTTGCTACATGTGAAAACTGTTCCCCCCAATTATCTTTGAAAACCAACAGGACATTTGGATGCATATTTTAATGTAAATGAAAAACTGCAAATTCAGATTGGGTCTGCAGTGATTTCACTCTAAAATGTATGCCATCTTCTACATTTCAGTTTCTTTCTTTCTTTCATATATTGCAGTCTTTGTACGCTTCCCCATCAAGTGAACATTAATTATGTAGAACACAGCTACCATGGATATCAAAGAACAATAACCCACAGGCAGAAAAAGGAGAAGGAGAGGCAGTGAATGAGACTCTAAACTGAGGGAAAAGTAAGAAGAAATTAAAAAAGAGGAGGAAAAGAACAAAAAGTAAGATTCTAAATATGGGTGGGTGAACATTAGAGAAAGAAGGGGATGGGGTAAAGAAAGATGTTCATTCTAAGCGTTAGAGGAAACCAGAAAATGGAAGGTTAATAAGTAAAGGAAAAGTAAATGAAAAAGAGGATTTTTAGTGACACTTTTTGAACAATAGACCCCAAGCCCTCCCACATGGGGCATGTCTACGGCGTGACAGCAGTGTAGCATTAAGGCCCCTGAACCTATGCCAGAATACTTGCGCTGGGAGCGTCTTCCAGGTATGCACTGCAGTTGCATGTCAACTCTATAATGGTACAAAACTTGGGGGTACAGCAATCACTTCTCGCACCCTGGAAGATGCTGTGGCATACTGCAGATAGGGCTGCTGTCATAATCTGGGTAATCTGGAAACCAGAATGTGTCACCAGGTGGGTTCTTCATGCAGTTTAGAGGATTATGAATTTGATTATGAAACATTTATTCAGCTGAACTTGCCGATTAGGGTTTAGCCTGAATTTGCTTTAAACTGGTTTGTTTACAGCACAACAAACTATCTAGCTGCACATGATAAAGATAGAAAAGGAAAAGGCTAAGACAGAACTAAAGAAAATAAATGTAATGGGAGCACTTGGCTAAATCACAAGTTCTACGATGGCTTGAAACTCAAGAAAGGGCGGCATTGCTTGTGCATTAGATTAATTTAGGAAGGAGTATTATAAAAGAATATCAAGAGTGTCCAGAGACAAAGAGGACAGAACTTGTTCCAACTAGGAGATACTGCAGTACTTGGACAGCAGGATGGACAAGACTCAAAACTATAGTGACACATCAGAAAAGTGCAAAGATCTGTGTGCAGGCAAGGATAATCAATGGCACAAACACAAGATGAAAAACAGACATCTGTGCCAAAGATCTGCACATAAGGCTCTGGACCTGATTTTAGCAGATCAAAGACTTGAACAGCAGTAATTAGTGTGAAACTATCAGAAAAAAAGTAAAATTATGCAGGGATGTACAAAGAGTGTTGTACGCAAGACACGTGACATTTCCGCGTCTCTTCAGTACAACAGAGTCATAGCTTTATTTAATTTTCTGAAGTATTCCTCAGGAGCTGCAGACCAACTGAAGACAACCTGAGTAGGCCAACAAGATACTTGCAGACCTAAAAACACAAGCCATGAAGAAACACTAGGAACTAACGGGTTTAAGAACATGTTATAAGAGAAACAACATGAGTAGACGGTCTAAAAAAGTTACAGAATGTCCATCAAGTGGAGAAGATATAAGAACACATGATCGCATTTGCCAAGTATGGTTTAGGTACAGCTCATCCTATCTATCTTCAGCAGGGAGATGAACCTGATGACTGCCCAAAGTCTTTTCTAGTCCTATATCCTGTCATTTCAAAATGCAGTAGCGGATTCAAAATATTTGTAACCCAGACCACACAATTTTATACTTTTTCTCTGCAAATGTCCTGCCTATATTTTTACCAAGTCAGGCACTGACAGAAAAATGCTCTGAATCTCACATTCACCTCCTCAGCGTATTGAACAGGCTGAGCCATAATCTTCAAAAGCTACACAGCAATGAAAACAAATGGTTTCATTTTCACCCAGACTTTCAGGGGCAGAAGTTAGGTTCTGCCTTATGTTATTCTCACTAAATCATTTATGAGATGAGTGCTCCCTTTTGAGAGAGAAAAAAAATACATTTTTTTTTTTAACCTGTATTAGAATGGTGAAAGTCAGTTTCCTCTCCAGCTCCATCCATGGCATTTGTGTGCTCTTCAGGCCTATCATTAGTCATTGTTCTTCGGATGCTCTGGTACCTAGGGTTAGAAAACTGGACTTTATATATAGTATATGGTAACTATGTTCCAATTCTGGCTCCAAGGGAGCTTGCCCATCTTTTCTGCCACGTAGGTTAATATACATTAACCTCTAATTTCTGTATTAATAGCCTTTTGAATTTCTGAAAACCATTATCAGTTTGGGGGGTTTTTTTGCCACATAGCTTATGAACACAGGCAGAATACAAAAGCCCTAGAAGCCCCTATGCAAATTAAAAGGGACAGCCATACAAAAATAAACACATATGGCCAGCTGCAGGAGCAACTGTGACCCTGTCTTCATACTCAGTCTTACAATGGTGAATGCAGTTTTGCAAGCACACAATTCACAAACAACAAGGGTAATTCTTACCGGCGATTCAGCTGTTCCATTTGCTGTATGGAATTTGACCTCTGGAGAATCTGTGGGGCTGGGGGTGCTGTGGGTCGCTGCCATGTTGTTGTCCTGTTCACGTGGTCCACATAAAAAATCCGTCCATGGCTGTCAATTCGAGCCTCCCAGTCTAAGTAGCAATAAAAAAAATGTAAACTATGGAGGGCCTGGGGTTTACTTATTTCTTTATTTTAGCTCTGTCACTTTTGTAACTGAATCTATTGTTCCAAGTTTCTATTTCTCTTTTACAGTTCCGCACAGAACTTTCTTACTGAAGGGTTAAAAGACGTGGGTTTTCCCTATTTTATCCCATAAATCAAATTTCGCACTGTAGTTAAGGTTCTGTGGAATCCATATCTAATATTTCTATCCCTTTCTTTATTCTATTTCCCACTAACCAGTAATTGTCCCAGAGGAAAAAAAAAATTTTAAAAATCACAACCCAAAACAGATTACTTAGTCTAATTCTCTTGGACTGAAGTAATTCAAGACCCAGTCTCTGAGGCTTATTCCAGTGCAAAAGGCCAATGGATAAGTACCAAAAACCTTGCAAAGCTTGACACTTGTCATTGCTTTTCCCCAGCTAATAGTAGCAGTAATAAAACAGATGCCAGCACTTTTCCTGGGTTTACATGTGCCTATGATAAAGACTTGCCAGAAAAGATGGACAATTATAACAATCAAACACCTTCATATACTAAATGCATGTTCCAGAATTGCTGATTCTGCAAATATCATAGCAAATTCAACTTCTTGTGCAAGTGGTAACTATAAAGCTGTCCACTGGTTTTGCAACACAAGCTACAGACAATGTTGGAAGTCTACACCATGGAAAACACACCAGGAGAGCAGAGATGAAGGCACTGGGACCTTTCCCCAACCACATGTGACTTCTCAGTACTCAGCAGAAACCAGGTGCATCACAACATAGGCCTTAGTTCTTAAGGTTTCTGGGTCACAAACACTGTCTGTCTAATAACTGATTATAAAATGGGCTAGATACCAAGACACTGATCATGGCTGGGAGCCATGTAATAATAAAATAAAATATTAAGATATTTCACATACAGAAACAGACGTGCCTGATTCTTGGGCACTAGCAACTGCAGAAAACGTGCAAACCATTTAGCACGTCAGTTGAAAAACAGTCTTTAAGAGCTCAGAAGGTTTCTAGAAGAGACTTTCTACACTGCAAGTCTAGGTGGAAACACCAGTGGCAGTAACATTTTAAAAACCACTGGCAAGCAACCAATCCTAAATGATGGCCGCTCCGCAAGGAAAGGGCATAAAAGCGTCTCGACAGCACAGAAGGAGAACTAAAATCTACTGTAAAGTATTTAATACTGACAGTCTTAAAACCTCAGGCTTTGTTACTGTATGCATACTACAACTCCTGTCAACTCTTGGAGGCAGCCAAGTGGCTCGCTGCATTACACTGTAGGGCCTGAGTTGACTCACAAAGAGGGAGGAAAGGCAGGTTTTGAGATAAACTCATTGTGTCATCTCCGCACGACAGCTGTGTGTTTTAGCTGGCCACAATGCAAATTAGTCTTCTATCTTTATGATGCACAATCAAAACAGCCTATTATTCTTTAAAGCATTCCTAGTGTGAACAAGAGCTATGTAGGAAAGTAAGCTCAGAGGAAGAAAAAAAAAAGCAGCACAATAGGATAGGAATAATGAGAACTGTTTAAGGAACAAATTTCAACTCCAGGAGAAAAAATGCAAAATTTTGTATTATACTGTAAATTTAAAATACAAGTTTAAAAATAAACAAAATTACATGAATGCAAAGCATATGGTGTAATCACTATATTTGCTATTCAAAATATAACACATTTGAAAGTTATTTTAAAAAATTCATTTATATCTCAAAAAAGCAAAATGAAACTTTTCAACATTGTCTGAAAAACATTTTGATTTTTAAGAAGAAAAAAATTATTGAAACAGATGTTCCTGTGCAAAGGTCCCATTTCAAAAAATTACTATCTTCTGATGAAATAAAAATACTCAAAATTTTTAACCAGAGTTTGTAAACAAAACAAAACAAAACATGGAAGAGAATTATTCATTGGGGAAAAAAGTAAAAACAACAACAACAAAAAAACAAAACCAGTTTAAATTCGTGAATTCATTATTCTGCTTAAATGTCAAACCCTAAACCACTGTATAATACTTGAGATTTTTCTTGTGGTGATTGTATGTCCAGTTTTGACACATAGTCACCATTTCTGTAATGTGGGCTTGCAGAAGAAAAGCAATTTTGCCTGCATTCAAGTTTAAATACACAAGTTTAAACACTTGGGCAATGGCTTCTAAAGTAAAGCACCCGCATCAGTGTTGTGATGGACAAGGATATCTTCCGTTAGTCAAACGTCTTACAAATAACTTAGCTTACTAAATTGCAAAACTGTAATTCATCAAGGTTGTGTGGTCAGGCTTATTTGTTGATTTTTCCCTAGGAATGTAGGAAGTGGAGCATAATGTTGCATGTTATAGGCAGAAATGTTAGAGAAATATTTCAATTCCTTTGTTCCTTAACACAATTGAAAGAAATACACCTATTTTTCTTAGTTTCAGATTCTGGTGAAACAACAAATAGAATACAACCTAAATTACAAAGAAATTAGTTTATCACTCAAAATCGTATTCTAAATGTTTGCTCTAATTTTTCACTATTAAAATATTAAAACTGTTACATATCCGAAAGAAGAGCTTTGGAGAGAAAAATTGAATCTAGGCAACAATTAGTATTTAAGATTTTATTCACATTAGTAAATGAATGATCTACATAAAGATTGCATTGGGCTTTAATTGTAAAGGTGCAATCTGTATATGCATGCCCATACGTCACTCTGTAAAATACCAGCAAATGTCATAAATGTTGGACTACCACACAGCCAAACCTTTTCCATTAACATTCCAATAGTTTTTCCAAGTAGTGTATAGTTTGCTTCTGAAACACAGAAAGCCATCTACGTATAAACTATGGTACTATAGAAGCTAGCTCTATGTGTTTCTCTTTTACTACACTGATCTCTGAGTATTTCCTGTAATGTTCTCTGTCTTTTTCAGTATGAAAAGTGGTAAAAATGCAACTGAAATATATGTCTCCCAGGCACAGTTTTGTAAAAAATAATACTGGTTTCTTGAGGTGGCAGTTAATTAACTTTAGTATCTGCACGCAGGACTAATTTGTTATATGTGCTGATTATAACAGAAGCAGCAGGGAGCAAAATCTTCTCATCACATTGGCTTTCCAATACACAGTTATATCTGTGTTCTGCTATCAGGGTCCTTCCAGTTACACTCTCTGATTACAAACACAGTCTCATTCCGTAGTGTGGAATAAGGATCTATTCTTTTTATCTAAATGTCTGAATTCCTGACTCCTTTAAAGTAGTAGAGCTGTTGCTTAATACCCATGTTTATTTTAATTCAAAAAGTCTTCACACTGCCTCAAAAATACAAAGAAAACACAGACACCTTTCACATAATCTGCAGAGATTAGAGATGTTATATATTTCTTTGTAAATCATCACCATACAGGAAGTATTCAGAGATTTCAGAATGCTTGACACCTTTCACTCCAAGCGTTTCATATAGCGTATCACCTCACCTCCCTACTCATGTGTTGCGTACTGAAAAGGCAGCACCATGCCTTCCTACTTCTCCGCAAATGTCACTTAGCAAGTCTGTATACACCAGGTATAATTATCATAACACATCCTGATAGTTTGCAGACTAAGCACAATGCCTTTTACAAAACAGCACTAGACTTCATCATCATTACACCTCACTTAGAACTTCTCAGCTGTTCCTTCTCAGTTCTCACATTTAAAAAAAGAAATGTAATGAGATCTAATGAGATCTCAGTAATGAGAAGCAGACAGCCTATCCCCCAATTAAAATATGAAGAACCTTACTTGGTGGTAGAGCCTCATCCACTCTCTGGTACCGGCTAACATCCTGACGTACCGAAGGCAGCGACCTCAAGGGCTGATGGCCGTTGGCTTGAGAACCTGGAATTAAAATGCCCACAAATTATTTTTTCAGTCAATGTGGGGAAGCCCTAGAGTTGCCTCTAATGTGAAAAAGATGTACTAAAACTTCTGCAGAACCTCGATATTTTAGGACATATCTAATAGTCATGTATTTTTGGGGACAAAAGAAGTTATGTCTACAGTTCCGGGTAAGTGATTTCTCTGGGATGTGTTGCTTTCCTGGTCCTGAAAATGTCACTTCTTGGGATGTGCTGCATCCACCTGTGACCAGTGGAAAACAGGGCACAGAAACAACAGCATGTGCCAGAGCCATATCCCAGCAAGGGACAAGGACAAAGCTCCACCTGGCCACCACAGAAACCTGCTGTAAGAGTAGGAGGTGAAACTGTCTATTGACCTTCCTTGCTGCAGCCACGCTGGTGTGCAAAACACAGTGCAACCTGACACCTAATAAAAAGAGAGTCCCAAATGTCTAGAAAATTATATAAAAGAACATATTGACAGTATTTGAAATACATACCAAAATTATTCTTTCCAAATCAAAGAGCTGATTATGAAGAAGAGAAATTAATAGATTCCAAAACTTTTGAAATGTTATGAAAGAGACACATTCGGAAAACCAGTTTGATTGCACCCACTTGATTAGATCCATGTCAATCTCTGAAGAAACTGAATGGATAATCCATTGTGAAATGTGCTTGGAAACAATCTGTTAGGGACACATTTCTACGTTCATTTTAGTAAGACATAAAATTCTCAACTGCTAAAATAATTTTACAATTGGCAAAAGTTTCTCAGTGTCAACTTGAGTAACACATTCCTCTCCTTCCATGGTTCCAGCTATGATAGGATGTATCTACACAGATAGGGGACTGGGAAAGGGAAGATAAACAGCCTGATATGTGACTAAATAACTAACGATTCTTTTTTTCCCCCCTTTCTTTTGATTACCTGTATGTTTTAATGCTAATAAATATTTTGCCCCCCCCCCCCCCCCATAAATACACCAAAGAAAAGACCCAAATATAAATTTTAGTTTGCATTCCATAGTTTTGGGACTATTTCCCCCCATTACCATTTTGATTAGCATGCAGGGTAATACTGTAGAATTGTTCTTCATCCTCCTTCTCATTACTCTCTCAAGAATTAAAATATATCCAGTTTAAAAATAAACACATCTTGGGTATTTCAGTTTTGATTTTTTGTTAAATCAAAAACCCCAGAGTATCTTGAAGAAGGAAATAAATCTCAAAGGAACAAAAAAAAAAACTTGAAATATAATGAAATTGAGAAATGAAGATCTTTATTTTCAGATGTTAATTTTTTTAATAATTTTTACTGGCTGCAGAAAGGTCACTTGAGAAAGTGCCTCCTGCAGTTATTACCTCCAGTAGCTCCTTCAACCTGTGCTGTGGCACCCTCACAAGCTGCTTGGGCTCCTTCAATTTCTTCCTCCTGAGACTGGCTATTGGCAGCTGCCGCCTGCAGGCTTATTCTTCTTTGCCAGATTTCTTCTGCTTCTTCTTGGTCTTGTAATTCTCCTGCCTCAGCCTCCTGTACTTCCTCCTGAGGTAACTGTACTGCAGGTAGAGCGCCAGAAGTACTTGCAGACTCCTGTGTTTCAGCACCTGGCTCAATTCTAGCTGCACTGGTGGCACAAGCTCCCTCTTCCTCCTCCTGAGAAGAAAAGGCTGGAGTCTCAGGAAACCTGGTACTTTCAAAAGAAGAACACCGCATTTCAACTGAGGAACGTCGCACAGTCGCACTTTCGTTGCAAGAGCTGTCTGCCCCTTCCACGTCACTCTCCCCTTCTGGCCGGGTACTAGCCTCACTGACGCTTTCTGTGCGAGCAGGGTCACTCTGCTCAGTTTCTGATGACATCTGGGAAGGTTCAGACCCTTGATCAATGGATTCTGTTTCACTAACGCCCCTTCTGTTCCCAGCAGCAGCATCGGCAGCTCTTGCATCTGCACTGCTAGGAGGCTGCTCTGCCTCCTGAGCGGCACATGAGTCGTTGCCAGCCTGGTCTGCTGGTGCTTCACTTTGAGAACCCTGCAGGCTTTCACCTCCTGCTAACTGTGACGCTGGCAGCTCTGGGAGGGTCTCTTGCTGGTCATCAGTTGATGGCAAAGGAGCTTCAGAGACTGAAACATTTTCATTCTCTGCAGGCCCTTGCATTACCTGATCTGATGAGTAACTTAAACCATTTCTTTCAACATTTCTTGTAGCACCATTAAGCATTACTAAACCACCACCGTCTTCCAGGGAAGATGGAAACCCCAGGTCTTGATGTAGCTCATGCTCCTCTTCATCTGAGTCAATGTGAAGCATAGCATTAAGTCTTGTGTCAGTAGGGAAGCTACTCCTCAGTTTTGGGGAGGCTCCACGTGGACGTTCACCGCAGGCAGACATCCCAGGTCTGGCATGATTATTGTGTTCTATTGCATCCAGATAGTCATTTAGTGAGTCCTGGCGACCTCTGGTAGGTGATGATCTTGAAGCACCAGAGGTCAACTCATCCTGGTCCGTTTCCAGAGTTGTACTAGTCCTTAAAGGGTGTCTCAGGATTACTTCTCCAGAAGATTCCTCGAGGATTGGACCATTGGAACACACTGTGGATGTATCATGATGTCCTGTTGGCATGTCTTCATCATCGGAGGGGCTTCCCAAGTCTCCATTTACAGAGTTCACTCCTAATAAAGTGCCAACTGTTTCTGGTGAAGCATCTGCAGACACACAAAGACTGAATGTGAAACAGAATGCAGCAATAGACAGCTCATTCTACTTTGTCTGCATCACAGAAGTGACATAAAAATACACTACTTTCAAGATGTTTATTTCAATCAGACAACCAAGGGAAGAAAATACACTTAAAACAATAGAGGTATCTACAACATTATAACAATAAACACAGAATTTTCTCTGTATAAGTCTAAACTATTTTGTAGGATATAAAAAATTTAAGGGATGTGAAGTATGACTTTAAATGACTCCCATTTTGCCTTCAAAAGACAGAGCACTGCCAAGCATCTTGCCAAGCTGTTAGTAAAACCAGCCCCACAACCAAGGAACCAGTTTTCTACAGCGTGCATCTCATATTTAAAAGTGGGATTTACACAAAGCCAGTCACTGACACCAGTTGTCATTACACCCTTAGCAGCATGCAAACCAGCACCTGAGATCACATGAGGAATCACAAATTGTGTACAGATATCAACTTATACACACAACATTTATTTTTAGTTAATTTATATTACTTTTCCACTGTAAAGAATGGCAATCAACCCAAGTAGAGTTCATGAGATATTGGGTATGCTATGGTAATACATATAAAAAGGAAATGAAAATAAGCCATCTCATTTGAAAGATAAGATGGTAACTCCCCACATGGGAATTAAACAGAGTTGAATAATCCAGATGTAAGTGTCTGTAAACATCTGCAAAAACTTAACAGTGAAGTCTGTGAACTAGAATGCCTGGCAACAAACAGGACTGAAGACAAGCATTTTTTTTAACGGTGACAGAGCAAAACTAATAGTGAGATACAGGACTACATGTCTACAAAAAAGGCAAGAGGGTTGTATCAAGTTAAAAGATAGAACAATATCTAAGTCTAAGAGATTATACCAAGTCTAATGAAGGAGACTCTAAGATCAAAAACATGTAAAAAGACACACATGATGTGATAAACATGTAACTGTACCAGCCATGTTCTGCTAGTTGCCTACAGAACAGGAAAAAAGGGAAACAAAAGTGCCTAATGGAAGCATGTATTTTCATAACTGTAACAGATAGTCTATATTCTTGGTTCTAAGCAGGACAGAGTCCTGTAGAAGGGCAGGACAGAGTGATCTGCACGTACGCTAGCAGAGGAGGAGAGCACAGGTGGAATCTTACTTGCAACTGCTTATCTCAGCCAAAGTTGTTACAGAGTGAAGATGTTAGAGCAAAGCAAAACAATGAATTTGATTATCCAATCTATCCCATAAAATGAGACTCATAAGCAGATTCATTTAAAATCTATCTAACAAAATAGGAAAACAATATGATAAGTGTCGTTGTTTTGGAACTACAGTCTCTGAATCCTGACATATCTAAACTTTGAATCCCAATAGAAAAAAAATCTATAATAGAGGCACTGTACATAAATGAGAAAGTATATTATCACAGAAAATCCTAGAAATTAAAGTACAGAGAAACTCTTGCCATATATCTATCTGGAGATCCAGATCATTGAAAAATTCTCACCTTCATGAACAGAAGATGTGATTTCCACTTTGAATTGGAGATATCCACTTACATGATCAGCTGGGAGCCTTCTGCCAAGATTATAACTGAGAACCTGGTCTCTGCAAAAACAAAGATATTGGAGGTTTTTTTAAATTTTAGCTGGTTTTATTTTACCAGTATTCTGTATCAGAGACTCTTGCCAGGTAAGAGTCAGCGTGATAGAAGATAATTTCTATTAGAATCTTAAAATCAGCCACATACTCTATCTTGTATGGAAAAGCACAAATACCAACAATGGTGTGAAATACCTTTAGTTAACAGATAAGACAGCCTAACAAACTACTTTTGATCATTTCCAAATAAAGTCTGTGCCCCAACAATTTTTATACATCCCTAAATCTCTTCAGTCCTAAAGAAATCAAACTGCAAAGAATCACCCTTCCCCTAACCGTCTCCTTCCCCCAACTCAAGATATGTTTTATAATTAACAAAACCTTTCATTTTTTAAAACCTTCTGCCCCCTTGTGGTTTTTACTATACACAAAATTCCCAGACAGTTTCTTCACATTTTAGTTCTCATTTAATAAAGCACTTCTGCATTCCTATTTAGAAAAGCTATTAATGCTCGGATTTAACTTCAAATACATTCTTAAGGGTTACTGAATTTAGTGGGACTTAGATTTGATTAAGCACTTGTATCAGCTTGAGACTTAGGATCAGATCCTAGGCTATACATTCTTATTAGGCACAGCCAGATTGCACAGCCCCAGCCTCCCCCAGCACAGCTGGGACAGCTGAAGGGAAAGGAGGCGGCTGCTGAAGATCTCCCATAGGAAACTATTGCTATTTATGCAAATAAATTTATACTGGTATAAACACCTCTTCCTTACTGGAAGCACTCCTAGGGCAATATGACAGACTGAAATGAATGCAAGGTCATTACTGAAATAAGCTGCAGCAGTTTGCATCCAACATTAACGTTTAGCAAAAAAAGTCCAGAGAGGACAATGTAAGGCAAAGCAGAATCCCACGTTGCTCTATTGGCTGCAGTACGTCATTGAATTATTATAGTTGTGTCTCCAGGACCTGTAACAGATTAATCACTCTGTACTCCAATTACAATTCTCAGCTAGACTCAGGGTGTCCTCATGCTCATTTATCATATTTTCCATGAAATTTAAAGCCACTTGGCCATTTTGTTACACAAACCTGTAAGCTATGCCAACAGCTAAAAGCCGGGCAGAATTTTAGTGCAGTCTGTCTAAAAATGGCTGGTTCTGGACTTCACCTCTTCATTCATTAATACTGATCATTAATACAGGGAAGGACAAATTAAGCGTACAGTGTACTGTAAGTCCTTGGACTTTGTCATGTAATTTTTTAAGTTTAACATGTTAATCCAGTAGAGGTTTTCAATTATCCTTGACTCCACCAAAACGAAAAAGAAGAAAGTGAAAATGCTTTACTTGCTTGACCAAAAACAAAATAAAAGAGAATTAGCTGTTGATTGTACGATTGGTACATTTCTACTTCATGTCTATATTAACCACTCCTTTCCTTGGCAAATCTTCTGGTGAAAAGTTGTCTGTCTTTACAATGTCTAGGAAAAAGGAACTCTGACAACTGATTGGCACACAAAAGCTGTAAATGGACAAATAAATTACGGATGAAGAGGCAGAAATATCTGTAAGACTGCTTTAATGTCAATTCTAACAGCAATATGGCTGAATGCTTACCTGTATTCTTGCTACATATTTATTATACAGCCCTTCCATTCCTAAAAAGATTTGGTATATCAACTATATATAGAACTGAAGTATGGAGAGGGAAAAAAACCCAAAACCAACAACAGGAAATGTCTTCCAGAATATTAGTTTGAAAAAACATAAACAAGAACTGATGAACACAGCAAATGGGTAATTTACAGACCTCACAGTACTAGCAGAAAAACATTTTGGGGTTTAGTATGGAAATGAACACCCTGACTAGGTTTTGAAACCGGTCTGTATCATGGTGCTATTTTTGAGTGTCTAGCAGTGTGCAAATTTATTAGAAAAAGCTGCTTGCTCAACTTATCACAAATTCATCAATTTGTTGAAACTCAAAGATGAAGCATTTCTTAGAAAAGTTAGATTGTATATACACCTGAACTGCTCTTGGATACCACTTAAAAACAAATGGGCAGGCTTTTTTTCTCTTTTTGTTAAATAAATTCTGTATAAGAAGACATCATCAAAATTTTAAGCTACTCTTACAATTTTATTCTTACTTTACTTACCAGTGTAACCACCACTTTGGAAACTTAAAGCTGAAAACTGTATTCAATTTGAATTTGACTTTCTCCATTTATGGAACTTGTTACTTTGATGGGAATATCTGTGAAAAAGGAGGCCAGTTGTTTATATCCTGCTTTTTGTGCAAAAGCGTGATGATACTACCATGCCCTTTAACTTTCAGGGAAGAATATACGCGTTTATTTTGCCATCATTCCTCATGGGCCTCATCCAGTGGCCTTTTAACCCTAACAGAGACACATTAACTTTAGCAGATTTTGAGTTAGGTCCTATACAAAACACGCTTGAATAATTCAGTTCCTCCTACTGTCTGTCAAGGAATTATTTTTTCTAATTTGCCAAATACAGCATATAAGCTTATAAAGATGTTAACAAAAGAATATACTCTACAATTACTGCTTTGTCTTAAATGTAAAATTGTACTTTGGCACACACTGCTTCATGTCTTGCAGACCTCCAGCCATTGGCTTCACATCTGCAATGCATCACAGAGCCTAATTACCAAGTCTCAGGCTCTTCTCAGCACACATGGCTGTACGAAGGCCTTACTGGATCATCCACTTGACTATACCATAGTCCCCTCCAGCAACCATCATGAAGTCTAAAAGATCTTGAAAGTTTCTAAGAGACTTGCATCTTTATACCGTAGCAGTTAGCTATCAAAAAGTGAATGGATTTTTTTTTAAAATAGCACAACGGGTGAATTTTGAGTCGCATTGGTGCGCTATTCATAGCAAAAGGCAATTTTAACTGCTTAGTATCACCAGCACTCTGAAAAATAAGGAGTCGCAGCCTTGCAGTTCTGGCCAATTAGCTGAACAGATATTAAATTTCGGATTGTTAAACTGATAATTAAAAATACTTGACGTCTAAAAAGAAGTGAGACAAAATCTGCTGCTTCTAAAAAATTTGCACACAGTCATGAGCAGAGGGTAACATTTGTTGCAAGGGTAATATTTTTTGTGTAAAGAAATTACACTGAAAACCATACACACATATACACAAACATGGGCACATGCATTCAGAACAGGGTTAGAAACACTGACATCTTCCAGTCAGACAATAACACTATTAAAATTCCTACTAAGTTTCTTATTACAGATGCAGTAGAAATTCGCTGGTCTGTGCCAGTAAGCCAGAAAGGCTGCTCTGCACCAGCATTCTAGATGCTGAGTCTCCCTGATCAACAGAAGTCAGCATTAAGAATGTATTAATTTACCCAATTGCATGTCTCTCCAATAGTCGCTGAACTGGTATGGTTAACTTCCCAAGAAAGCGCTTGATGATTGGACGACTCTTGGCAAATTTGTCTTTAACCTCAATTTCCAGGACATCTGTTAGAAGTGCAACAAAAGAATATTTCTGGAAGAAAGAACATATTTGACACCACATCAATACACCTTCATTCAGATAGTATGTACATAATTACTTCTAACATGCAGTGAACTCCAAAAGCAATGACTGAAGACAGCAATTTCCATATTGCAAAATAACGTCAACATCTTTTATTAAGCATGGAATTTTTGCATATGCAACTAGCCTCTCAGGAACCCATACCCTTTTACTGTTCCTTGAAAATAATTGCTCAGTAAGAAACTGCACTGGATAAAAGCACTTTCATGGTATACATCAGAAAGGAGAAAGCAATGTATCCTAGTGCTTGCTTCAATATGCATAGTAGAAAGCAAAAAGAGAAGGAATCCTTGCTGTACTCTATCAGGTTACCGAGGAGTAGCCAGGTGAATGCAAGAGGAAGGAGGAAAGTGTCTCACTCTAGGCTGTGCTTAGTGAACTCCCCTTCCAACACCACACTCGGCACGAATTTTTTGTGTGCATGACAGGAAGTCGAAAGAGCAACGTATATACAGTATTTTCAGGAGCACTGTAACTAAAGGAGGAGAATTTTCTATAGATTTTTGCCCCAAAGTTCTCAGAAAGCTCCAACAGAACCTTTTTCTGCACTTGGGCCCTTTACACAACATGATGCTCATTTATAAAAGATTTATGTCTAGTAAGATCATTCTTCCACCTTTCCCTACAAGGGAACACTATTGCAGTTAGTCTCTTCAGCCCAGCATCAATTTTCATGCAGCTCATGAACACTTAATTTTTGAGATCTGTGCTGCTCTGTCTGTCAAGTCCACCTGAAGATGGCCAAAAGATTCAGAAGTGGTACAGAGCAAATAACATGGGCAGGCATGTTGGCAGACACACATACACACAGTGCGATAACAAATTCTCTTAGGAACCAAAGATTTTTATTTTTCCTCTAGATTTTAAGAGATTTCAAATAAACAAAAAGTACGACATAACCTACTCAGAAAAGCCGAGGTCATCTGGTTATACTTTTACTATCTGCCACCTTTAGGACCTCTGAGCAAATTGCAACCTGAGTACAATGCCTAATACACATCTGGCTAGAGAACTAAAGATGTATTGAACAAGGAACAAAAAAAGAACAACTCTCCAGTTCAGCTGTAGACATCAGCTAAATATATTCCAAAACAGCACTTAAATTGGGTCAGGAATAAAACCACGCTCTCATGCAGGGCAACTGTCAGAGCTGAGTTCCTGTGATAAATAGAATTTAAAAATTTGTCACTCTCAGTTTGCTATAAAATTGCAAATTATTTCAAAGAAAAGAGTAGATGTAAAACAGGATCAATTCTGCACCACTAGGACAGCATATGTAATGGGATCATAAGCTGCTGTCGTCAGAGCATTGCTACAGGGAAGATACAGCAGTTAAAGCAAGCTGATATAATGCGTGCACCAGTGAACATTAGCACTTTTCTAATAAGCTTCAAAACCAAGGAGAACTGGAGGAGAAAAAAGAGGAAAAACAAGAGTAGATTTTCTTTGTATCTACTGGATAGATGGAGGGACAGACAGAAAGATAAATAACCAATTTAGACATTAGAACTCTGATTTTTTTTTTTAAATATTTTAAGACTTCTACACATCTACAGTCTTTCCCACAACCACGCACCCCAGAGCAGTGCTAATGCTGGCCCTGCTCTGTTCTGATTTATTGCTTGTTTGGTTTGATTATGATTTGTGGGAACATTTTCCAAATCCCACTCAACTTTCCAATCTTCCTAAAGAACACATTAACATTCATCAAACATAGTACAGGCATCTGCTCATTAGAAAACAGGCACAGATCAAGAACGTTGCTCACCGATCCTGAAAGGGTTGTGGACTTGTGTCAGTATTCATACCTTGTTCCCCACATAAATATTTATCTTCAAAGGCACACTCTGGCTCTTCTGTGCTCAAAAGATAGCAGTGGGACTGAGTTCCTTCTCTGAGACCTGCACAGCCTACCCAGTATAAACATATCTGGAAAACTGGTGTCTGTCAAACCACTTTTCCCCCTCTGCCCCCCTTGCTGAGTGGTGCTGTAACGTCTCCCTGGGCTTTCCTTCCTACAGCAGTGTGTACAGAGGCTACACCAAGGAGCATCCCCTCTGCCTGACAAAACTGAAAGCTTGCCACCTGCTATGCACAATGAGAATATCACTTCCAAATGAACAGTTGCTGCAATCACTGAGCATAAATGCTCACTTATTGCACCTTTTCTTAAAGAGTCTTCTCACAACATATAATCCATTTTCATTAATTTATTTTTGCAATTTCAAGAAATCTGCAGGGCTGTTGCCTCTCGTTAGCAGAGAAGGGAATGAAAACCTCACAGCAGTGCAGCTTAAATATGCAGATGATAGCTGTTTCTATCCAACAACAGGGTTCCTAAAATTACTACAATTTCTGTGTCAGTTTAAATAACTAGCTACAAAATAAGCTCTCAGCCTTCAGAGACTAAGTACTAAGGCAATAAGAGAAAATACAAGCCTGGTACACTGCATCAGCTGGCAGACAGCTCTCAAAAGGGACACATTACCTCTCTGTGCCAAACAGGATTAGTTGTGTTACTGATGATAGTCGACCTTCTTTCCTGGCCATGATGAGCAAATGTAGGAAATGTACTTTTCTTGCCTGGCTGAATGGACATCTTTAAATAAGGATCAGGGTTGAAGAACATGCCTTTTTTAAGTCCAACTGCTCTAATATCTATATAGCAAAACAAGAAGGAAGGAAAAAGGAATTGAGTAAATTAAAGCTAGTTCACAAAGTAACGCATTCCTAAAATATTACCCAGGAAATCAATTCACCATAAACTACTAAATAAAGCAACTTAAAATTACTCATACGTTAACTGGATCGAGTGTACAGAAGACAGTTAAAGCAGGAAGTCAAGTATTTTCCCAAGAGAATACAGGGAGGAAAGGTAGCAACATCCTCATTTACATTTCAGCCTCCAGTCATTTGTAGAACAAAAAGTATGAACTTGTAACTCACCCACAAATGTTTTTCTCAATATGTAAGGTATTTCCACTTTTAAAAAGAAAAACCAAAAAACCACAAAAAACCATCACACAGTACTTGCTCTGTTTCTGGGGAAGGGGAAGTGGCTAAGATAAAAAAAACTGTACAGAAGGTAATGTAGTAAACTCACACTTTCCCAAAGTTGAGACTTTGATAAACGTAACTTCAAATACTCATTATCAAGGTTGCTCTGGACTATGAGGCACACTTTCCCCCAACTTAGAAGATAACCTATCTCACCTAAAAGGAGGCAAAGTTTTCTGAATAAGCTTCCTTCTTCCTAGGGAAACCTCAGTACTGCAGCCCTTGCGACTTGCAACAATAAATAATAATTTCCTCAGGTGCATATTCTCATGCCTAGAGACTTTAACAATAGTGCAAGCTTCAACAAGAACAAAAAAAAAAAGAGGTATTTTTTTATAAAGCAACAACTTTGCATGTGCAAATGAGCAACCAAAAAACATTATGGGAAATACCTTACAGACCTGTCAGTCAATACACCTTTCAAAATTAATTCAGAGTCACAACCTTCCATTAAACACAATAGGTTTTTCAGAATTCACAAAACAATTATTTTTATAGTACTCCATGTGCTCGCTTCGGCAGTACGTGTACTCCAGAGAAGGGCAATGAAGCTGGTAAAGGGACTGGAGCACAAGTCTTATGAGGAGCGGCTGAGGGAACTGGGGTTGTTTAGCCTGGAGAAGAGGTGGCTAAGGGGACACCTTACTGCTCTCAACGACTACCTCAAAGGAGGTTGTAGTGAGGTGGGTGTTGGTCTTGTCCCAGGTAACTAGCGAAAGGACAAGAGGAAATGGTCTAAAGTTGCGTCAGGGGATGTTTAGATTTGATATTAGGAAAAATTTCTTCACTGAAAGAGTGGTCAGGCATTGGAACAGGCGGCCCAGAGAGGTAATGGATGCACCATCCCTGGAGGTGTTCAAAAAACATGTAGATGTGGCACTTCGGGACATGGTTTAGTAGACATGGTGGTGCTGGGTTGACGGTTGGACTTGATGATCTTGGAGGTCTTTTCCAACCTTACAGATTCTGTGATTCTATACAACCTATCAGCTCTATCCCAGATAACTGCTGCAAGGCAATTTCAAAAAGCAGGGTTTTTCCCTGCTCTACCCCTACAATCTCGAAATGTTTTTCATTGTCAGCTCAGAAGGTTCAGAAGCAAATTGTTTCTGTCTTTGCTCAAGCTTAATATGCTTTAGTCTCACACAAGAGTTCCTATGGAATAAAGTGCTAATCAAAACAAGTGAAGCTGGTAGACTGTACCCCTACAGCTATTTTGCTGTAGTGACAGCTTAGCTCTGTTACAAGTAAATATTTTTTCCTTTCTAAACCACCATTTGCAACCATTGCTTTTTTACTAATTCAAAGTGATGGAATGAGTTTGCATTTTATTTAGAGGCTATGTTTTCCACTCTTCAATCTGAGGAAATGTCCCTTGTGCAAAGTGGAAATTTTTCCAAATTTTTCATGCTGGGATCCATCAAATCCACTTCTTTCACTCCTGGACATTCATGATTCTGGCTTGTTTTCAACAAACAGAAGTTCTAAAGAAATGACATCTTTCAAGCCACTAGAGTGTGCTCCTACAGAGGCTAAATGAAGAAAAGTGTTCTATCTTTGAAGTTATTTAAAATAGCAAATTTTTTTTGGTAACAATAATTTGTAAAATACAGAGTAGTGTTGGTTTTTACCTGATAGGGTAAAGCTGACTAACTTCCTAGAGTGCTGGGCTCCAGAAGCACCTTCATCCGTGCCTTCTACTCCCATCTGAAGAGGAGGGGAAAAAAATGAAATATACCACAGAAGTTTTCATCTGCTTTGTACATTCTTGAGGATGATAATGCAATTGTAAGGTGGCATGCAGGGGAAGAATCTGACCAACTACTGCCTATTACCATGGACAAGCAAAGCTACAGCATTTGTTTCTATGAAAATATCTATTATTTATGCCACGCAGTGCTAATTCAGAAGTCCTTGGAATCTTCCGAACAGAATGTGTATAGGCTAGTACAGGTGCAGACACTATTAACTGGAGAAAAGGAGACTGTATTTTCTTATGTGCTTCCCTTTTGTAAAATAAAATCAACAGTATGGACTGGTAATACATACCAAAGCACCCATGTGGCCAGTGACAGCATGTGTAACTTTTGTCACTTTCCACAAATAGATAATTTACTGTGCAACAAAAAAAGCAAAGAGATCAAAGAGAGACTAACAAAAGCCTTCAGATCTATGAACAAAAGCTCGTTTTAAACAGAAAAGTGCATCAGATGTCTAAATATCAACGTGGTCTAAAAGCTTATGCTTCGCAGATTTTCAGGTTTGGTTTCTACTGAAACCCCTCATTAAGTAAAGCACTACTACAAAATAAAAAGTTTCTCATGTATTAATGTCTTATTAATGTCTAGCTCTTTCCGCTAGCAGAAGAATTTGTCTTTCAAGACAGAGATGTGCATCCAGCTGAATAATCTATCATGAAGACATCAATGGAGCTATCTTTCAAGTCAAATGTTTCTCCAGGTAGGCACTGCACGCACTCCCAGGCAAAAGAGGTGACATAGCCTGATGAAAAAGCTTCAGCCAAACACGGCACTGGGGATTAAGACTAGTGATAGAACAGAAAGTCATCTGATGTATTGAACAATTAAAAAAAATAAGCTGAATAAAAACACACACCTATGTGTGAAGTATGTAATCATTCCTTTTTATGTTGCTATAAGCTATTTAATATCATTAGCTTTCAAATACTTCCCACAACAATCAGTAAGCACACTGGAATTTCACAGGAACTAGCAAACACACAGAATTTATCCCATTACAAAACTCTAATACTTTATACATAACAAGCACTCAAAGTGATAAACAGCAATGATGCTGCTGCCTGACATGGGCCTCAGCGATCTGGTGAGGGAACACACCATTCCAGCCAGTGCCACCATTCACCAACAAGCCCATTCCCTTCCCTCAGTGCTGGCTTCACGATGCACCTCTGTTCCCAGGGCAAGACATTTCTCACCACAGTGCTCAAAACTCTATCACTTTCCCACCAGGCATGACATCATTATGCCAGTGACTTTATATAGATGGATAAGCGGTGACAGCTGGTAGTAAAATTACGAGGGCATTAAAAGCATTGGAATAATTCCAGCCAGATCAGAGTTCCCTCATCTACAGACACATTCCCTGGAAGCAGCAAGAGGTGCATCTCCATGGGATGGTGACGCTGCCCAGGCGGGGCCAGAGGAACGCTATGTGTTTCAGTGCACTCTTTGGGGCTTATTTTAACATACGTTGTTTTCTTGTTAAAAAAATTATTCATCAACAAAAAGCCCTTCCTCATTCTATACCTATTTTTCTGCTACATCACTGACTCTGAATATTGTTTACATTGCTAATCATTACTTCATTTTATAGAAAAAGGGATTTGCCCGCAATTCAGCTATAATAAAGTGAATTGTAACAGTGTTCCCTAGCACCTCCATGGTTTATATATACACCCTTTCCCTGTTCCATTATGACCTGAACGGCAATTTCAACTTTGTTGTGCCAAGTACAAAATTTCATCCTAGCATCCGTGCTTAGATTTTTGTACTACGAAGGTGCTCTTATCTGGTGTACTGCAATATTTCTCGATGCTAGATCAGCCCTTGCATTTCCACTGGTTCAAATGAACACAACAGAACGTTAGTTGCTTATCCAAAAATAAGATGGACTGAAATGCCTGGTGTGATCTGCCATCAATATGAGGAAAACCAGAAACACATCTCCCATCAAACCATGTAATGCAAAAACTGTAAGTAAGCAGGTAACTTATTGCAGCTTAAAAAAAAGAGTGCGCATGTCATGACTCTCTTACCCCTTCCATGAACAGCATTTCTGTAGCAACAGACACAACCAGTGCCAAGTGAACAAAGTATTCTCTACTACACAGTGCTTCACCTCAACACCGAAACCATGAAAACAGTGTGAGGTATTAACAACATATAACAATAGATACACTTACATATAACTAACCCAATATGATATTTTTAGGAAGTCTCATCTGAGCTGTCATATGACATTCTCATCAGAGAAACTAACAGCTCACTATTACTGGAAGTCTGTACTGCTAGCACAAACAAAAATGTTTATATACAATTACACCTTCTAGTAGGAATGTAAATTCTGTAGAATACCCAGGACCCTGCGCTGCCTTTCAAAGCAAAAAATTTAAATAGCAACAACTGGTTAACCCGTCAAGATTGACCAATGACTCTGAAAAGACAGGTCTTCAGATAGCTCCCAAGTAAATAAATGCATACTCAAAGACAGAAGTTCAGATGTCCTTTTGCGCAATGAATCTCAAAAATATTGGTGGCTAGTATGACAAGGTCAAGAAAACACACAAGTTCAAATGGTTTCTCCATCCAATATAACCAGCCTGCTTCTCAGTAACAATACACTACAGCACACAGCCCATTTTAAGGGTTACTTTGAGATGCATTTTTTTTTTCTTTGTTCAAAGTCAGGCTATCTTACAGTCTGTAGTTTATAAATTGATATGAAAGACAGAGGCTGTCAAGCTCATTAACTGTGATACATTTTCTTCTGTAAAACATCAAGAGTTCATATGCCTGCTGTGAAACGATATTATTCATAGTCAGATCTGACAAAGATCTGACAATTAAATGATGCTATCACCTAGGTCTGTAATTCTAAGAAAAAAACATTTGGTATAATGAGATATGAAGTCTAATATAGCACATACAATATCATATACCCATAACATGCACTTGTATATAACATACAACGCTGAAAAAGGGCAGGATCAGAATAAAAGCCATTCAGTCTGAATAACTTGTGCTCTACAGTATCTTCAACATTGCAGTTGTCAAGACAACATCCTGACAGATGTGATCTTAAATATTTGTCAGCTAATATCAATGAATGAAGTGCACTGTGAAACTTCATGTCAACTGAATAGCTACTAGCCTATTAGATAAATTACTTCCATCAAAAGCACCTGGATACAAATTTGGAAGGCTCTTCTTCCAATATGTATTTAAACAACCAAAAAAACTCCTCTAAAACTTTAAGAACAAGTCTCATAATGAAAGCATAGTATGGCAGCAATAATTCTCAATAGTCAGAGAATTATCTAAATTTCAATGGTATACAAACACTTGAAAAAAATAGGTAATTTTTGCAAGAGCAGAGTTTTATCCAGTCTCATTTTTATACTAATAATTTCTACCTAAGCAATAATTTCATTTTTAATACTAACAAATAATAAAAGAAATTGAGACTTTTAATAAGGATTCAGTTTGAGTTAGATAACCAGTGTGAAAAATTTCTTCTGTGGTGTTAAATTACAGCAAACTGTAAGCCGCAAAATTGAAAGCAAGCAAAATCAAGTTCTTAGTGTAAAAGATTTCAGCTAAGCTCAGTGATTTTAATGTCATTTTACCATGAAAAATACAAAACCAAGACAAGCATTTCCGGATTTTAATAGTTTTTGGCAAGCAATATAGTTTTTTTGCAAAAGTTGAAGTTAATGGTAAAAATAGAAGACTTCTATCAATAGGTTTGTCTGACAGTTAATACTATCCTCTCATAAAAATACAATGATCAAATAGGCTAAACTTACCATCACAGCAGGGTTTTTCACAGTGATACATGGAGTAGTAGCTCGGAGGGCTCCACTAACACCATGGTAGTATTTAAAGCAGATCTTTATTTCAGCTAGAAAACAAAACAAAAATAAAATTGCATTAAACCCGTCATGACTGACCCTCGGCAAAAGAGAGACAAGAAGAGAACATGTGCATACAGGGAGTCATAGTTCACTTCTGTTCACAGACTCTGAGTTTGGGCAGTTCCCAGATATATCTTCATTGTAAAAATACACAATAACTTTAACTGAAATACATTTTCTCTCAACCTGTAGAAAATTGGAAACCTGTCTCAAAGACTGAATAGAGTTTTTAGCTAAAAAGCTGGTAAATGCTGCCTATTATTACTATTATTATTATTATTGTTAATTTTAACTGTATTTCTACTCAGTCAGTAGAAACCCAACAGCTCATTTTTTCCAGCTCTTACAGCAAGATGTCCATGGTCACTATTGGGTAAGAAATGTCTAAGTATTTACAAGCCACAATTCACACGAAGCCATTTCTGTATGTTTTGTATGGGTAGGAAGGAAATGAGATCAGTATTGATCTCTGAAGACAAGTTCATTTTAATATAATAGGTTTACTGTGAATTATTTATTTTTCAGCAGATTTCTAAGTTGCAAATCAAAAAGTAATTACACATATGTTTTACATTTAAATTATCATAAGAAAATGGGACCTCTCTCTACAGCTTTACACACAGAGGTGGTACCAAAGGTATTATATTGTGTTAATCTATGAAATAGTTAAAGCTACTGCTTTTTTTGCTTCTCAAATGGAAAGTAACATATTTTGACAAATACATTAACAGGTATTATGCTGACATGATGATTTAAACAGTGGCATCCTTTTTAGGCAGTTTGAACAGTTTGGGTTTTTTTCATATGGAAGCAATAATTCTCAAATGAACTACTTATCCCTATAGGAATTGTGAGCGAAGAGAGAACAGCACAGGTGAACATGTGCAAAGCGCCCCAAGCCCTTGAGTAGCAGCGGGGCTAGGTGACACACCTTGCACTCCTTGCATTCCACTTATATATCCAAGAAATGCATTACAGCGCCTCGTCACAGGTTACAGAGCAAGCTGATGTTGAGGTGCAGGACACATGGCCTACATGCCTTTCATTCTGAAGTCAGCAATATCAAAATTAATTTTATTTGGCTGTGCCTAGCTCGTTAAATCATCCTATATGGATCTTCAACTGCATTTATCCATTCCACTAATGCTCATATCATCCACAGATGAAATCAGCAGGGACCCTGAATTTCAAACCACTGAAGAAAATGTTTAAAAGCACTGCATCTTTTATCTCCTGCAAAGCCTCACTAATAACATATCACTTCTTGCACTAAGAAGATATCACTTTTTGTGTAACCTGTCAAACCTTTTACTATTGTTTAGTATGCCAATCCAAAAATACCCTTGATCCTGGTAAAATAAGAGAATAAATAGCCACAACTTGAGGATGAGACAAAATACTGTAAAATGCAAGCTCTTAAAGCTGGGATTCTGCATTAGCCCTACAGGTGTTCTGGCATTCTGGTAGGAGTGGAGATGCAAGTATGGCTCACCATGGTGGAAAGCTATTAATACGCTGTTCAGTGTACTCTTGAAACCTCATTCTATATAAGCAGGATTCATCATTCAATGATCTGTCTTCAGAAGTACTTCAACAGAAAATTAAGAATAGAGCACCTGGTTATCTCCCCTTTGTGTGTTGGGATCTTCTGTTACTTAACGGGGTGGGGGGGTGGGGTGGGGGGAGTAGTTTACCTAATTCTGCAGCTTATATTTCTGCTACTATTTCAATATAATCAGCTATGAAAAAGGGTTACCGAGGCATTTACTACTAAGATGATTCTTGTCAGACTCTGGAAGAAGTTGCATGACACATACCTGAAGGAAGCTTGAAGCACTTTAAACACAGGAAAGGTGAATGTTGGACCATGTTTCTAGTCCCACTGAATAAAGTTTTGTTTGCTAAACTGCATTTACTGCAAACAAAAAGAGCATTAAGTTTAACCAAAGCCTGACCTCCGCTGTTGTTCCCCCACATTCTTCCAGCCCAGCAGAACAGCTATAATTATGGCTGCCCTTGATCCTGTGGGATTTTTCCTATCTGGAACAGCCTCTCTGTTTTCCTTCTCCACCGGGATAACTCTTCTGTGTGAGGTTGATGAGGGTTTACTTCTGGGTACAGAAATGGCCACAGGCAGGCTGAAATTATAGCAGCCAGTTCAGACAGACCAGAGGATGTGCATGAAAGTCTTGGCAGTTCAATTCCTCTAACTTGGTTTAACAATATGTCAGTAGTTCTAAAACACAAAACTGCAATGTTTTATATAAGGTTTTGAGACATACAGCATGGTTCCTTGAGGGCTGAGGTATTTCATTACTGTGAGATAAAATACCCACTTATCCCTGCTCAGAAGGATCAGAAATCCATCCTGCAAGCCTGCTCGGCCAAAAAGGATTATTAATTTATTTTTAAGTTTGCTGCAGCTACAGGTCAACATTTATTTACTATCTTCCTCCCAGAACAAAGAGGAGGCACCTCAGAACTACCCTTCAAAGGAAAAGTGTCTGGCTGACAGTGCCTCCAGGGACTTAAGAGGTAGAGAAGCTGCTGGTCCCACTTCCTCCTCCTTACAGCTGAGTTCACACACACAGTCAAAACATGCTCTATTTACCACAAAGTTTACAGCAAAACTCAAAATACAAAAAGGATTTCTAATCACCTACAAAGGTTTATCAGTCTTAAGAATTGTGGGGCAGGACATGCAGTTCTTCCTAAACTGAGAAATTCTGTTGACCTACCAACAATGCTCATATCCAAATGGACATACAAGAATTTCTAGCTCACATAAAATTGGACTTTCAGTACGTGCAAAAGTTGGCAGGATTTATACCAAGTGCTGCATTCTCCACATTGTAAAATGCACATAAGGAACCAGGACTCAAGTCTTGAGTATCTCTTAATCACATTGTGAACATATTATGACTACATGAGGGCATGGCAAGACAACGAGCTATTTCACCATGACTTCTACTTTCCAGCTACATTGCTCAGCTTTATTGCAACCCAAACTTTATTTTTCAGAGAGTTTCTGGAGCTGCTGTTTATTCAGTCTGTTGTCACTGACTACCTTGTCTCAATGCATCACTTCTGAAAAGAACCTAGAAATGGAAAGGCTATCAGCTGCTGCTTCTATCCACAGACAGTTCAGAACGTGACAGTAGACAGAAGTTTGTTATGTATTCTCACTACACTGACATGTACATTCCTCTAAAGGCTGAAATGCAATGTTACGACCTGTGGATCCTCAGAATTCTTTCTCTCAATGACTCCTGCTAGCATACAGTACTTTTCAATACCTGTATGTGGCTGGTAATAGAAGAAAACAATGTTTGATTCAAGAAATAGATATGACGATCACATAAACTAAATAAAAATCTTCAGGACTAATTCTAGAAAATTAGAAAAAGCAGAGCACTTAAAAACAGAACATGGAGGCTTTTCCTCCCACTTCCCAACAGAAGCAGCATTGATTTTGTTTGGGCTGTATACAGCACTACACACAGGAATGGCAGATCTGCTGTTAGCATGCGTCAATGGGATTAACACAAGAGCAGCTGTGCTTGAAATTCCGCACAAAATTGTAAAATGGGCTCATCACATCCATGTAGACGTTGCCAAAGTGAATACAGGTTTGCAAGACTGGATCTTGTATATAGCAAGAACACAATCCCTTCATAGGGCCAGAGACAGCTAAGTAAAAAAAATTTTTTTTTTTTTTTTGGTGTGGCTAATAATGCTAGAAACTACAGTTAATACTTAACAGTAAAAGAAATCTCAAGAGGAACCCTGTCAGTTGCAAACAGTGGAGGATCCAGCTTTTTGACATTTCTTGTACTGTGTTATCAGCAAAAGTGTTGATTAGAATGTATTTTTCTTGATGACTGATAGATTGCTGAGCTCCAGATATACTCAAAATAGGTATCGGTGGCTGTTCATGATAGAACACGTCTCAGCCTACTACCTATAAAGAAGACTCCATAGATACACAGACCTCTTCAGAAACAGTAAGTTCAATTATCTGCAAACAGGACTTTAGCGAGTTGAGTTCTATACCATATTAATACTCAGGCTTCCTCTGAGCTGTTCCATACTACAAACTGCACAACAGCATGTGTCACCGACAGAGTTTTCCCAGTTTCTTTCATTCCTCCTGCCACCTTGCTTTCATGTGTTTCCTTTAGGGGAAACTTGCACTTCTCTTTTTTTTCTTGCCTACTACTTCTTCCCTCAACAAGCTTGCTTCCCTCAGTTAGCTTGCTTTGTATGCTATCTGTAATGAAAAAGTTAATAGCAGTTAATCCAGCAAGGGAAAGACACCTGTACCCGACCACAGGACTATTTGCTGTCTCATTAGAGAAAAATATGACATTTCAGAACAAAAAGTATTTTCATTCATGGAGGAAAAAATTATTGTACCTAGCTCTTGATAGCATGTTCTTGACACCACACACACCCCATTATCACTGACATTCCTCCAGACATCATACAGATCGCAATAAATTCCTTCTTCATTTAAAAATAAGACAAAAATGAAATTGGAGTATCTGTGATTCTTTAAAAGTTATCACACAGCCATATAAAAAGTGATATATATGTTAATTAATCTGAACACTCTGTAAAACCATAATCCCCTTCTTTAAATGACAATAGCTGTTATTTTATAACCATAGTTTTATAGCTCAGGTCCATTACATAAAAATGTTGGAATTAACAAAGGCTTCTGAGACTCAAACATTGACATTTGAATTTCAAAAGAACTCCTGCATGAAATTATAGAGTTGTACTTCCCTCTATGGACCATACACTCTTGCCTGTTCAATAATAAAGAGATCAGCTTACAGCAAATAATAGCTTGCTTTTAAAACAACACTAATTCCCTGAAGTTCCCCACTTTATCTAGCTTTTTACTGCCTTTAATACTTTAACTTTGCCCATCAAAAAATTGCTATAGGCTAGAAAGATACTTGTAGTTCATAAACTTGGAATA